GTGTGCTTATATTCAAACTGAGCTTTACTTGAGGACATGTTAGATTGTTATGTCCCTCACCGTTGTAGAACCCACATCGAATAATTTTCTTCTCGACCTTGTTCTTTGGTACTTCTTTTCGCTTGCGTTACTTTCGTTGAGGGTCGCGAACGTTGTTTACTACACTGCTCTGGTTGACTAAATCATTCAAACCAAATGAGTTTTCAAATTCTTCTGTTAGTCCTTTCATCTCATATCTTGCGGTTTTGAAAGACACGTCTGTCTTTGATGCAATGTAGCATAACTTACTTGGCGTTGAACGTAGAGCAGCGAACCTTTCCATTTGCTTTACTTCTGGAGGCACATTCAAGTCAACAAAACTGGGTGTAGAAGCCTTCGCGTCTTTAGTCCACCTACTTTGAATCAAAGACCCGGGCAAATATGTGTAATCCAAGTGCTTCAAAATGTGAAGTTGATAGCGATACGGAAGTCCGACGGTCTCGAATTTTTTGTATGAGCAATTTAGGGTTTCTGTATGAGAATCAAAACTAATTTCAAATGTCCTATTTTTTTCTTTGTACTTTGTCAAAAATATAAGTTTGACATTCATCTGATAAGAACTGAATCTCTTTCTAAATCCGGTACAATGTTTCCCGTTGAAGTTCATCTTGGAACGCACGAAAAGATTCGCGCGTATAAATCTCAACAACATGGCTTTCAAGGTCAACTAGTTTTGTGATCTGGAAGGGCTTCGTCTGGGAACTTAAATAATCCGCTTTCAACTCGTTCATATGCATTCTACTAATTCCATCTTCAATTGCACGAACAACATCTAAATATGTCTTCTTGTGTTTCAGTGCAATCACGAGTGAAGCATTCATAGACTCGCACCTTTGTGTTGAGCGAATATTGGCAAAGAAATAACCGGTTAGATATGCTTGGGCCCATAAGTGTCGAGTATTTCTCTTCTCAATCACCCATGGATGCTTTCGACGTTGAATTTTGAAACAACCGAACGCCATTGAATATCAAATTCGTCGGTTGTCCACCAAGAAGCCATGCATTTTGAGAATACTGTTGTAAATTTTGGGTCACCAGTGTTAGCTTGTGCATTGCGAGAATGATGCCAATAACATAATTTGTGCTTAGCATAAGGGATGACATATTTGATAGCCCTCTGCATTGCCCTATCCCCATCGGCGACAACTGAAATAGACGATTTATTCATCATAGCTTCTAAAAAATTATGTAGCACCTACTTGAAAGATTGAGACGTCTCGTCAGCGATTATGACAGTAGCAAACACAATTGTGTTATGGTGATAATTGACACCGACAATAGACATAATTGGCCGACCATACAAGTTATCTTTGTACGTTGTATCGAACGTAATTACATCACCGAAGCATGTGTAATCTTATCTCGATGTAGAATCTGATCTCGATGTAGAACCCGAGATCATTATGTTTCTTATAATCAAAGTAAGCAAAAAGCACATTCACATCCTTATCGACCATTTCCTTTGTTTTACCTCTTTGAAGTGCATTGTAGAGGTCTTTATGTGTAAATACAACATTATGATAGAAACTTCTTTCAATGTTGTTATCTCATCGATATCAGCCTTACTTATAACTCTATTAGAACGCATAAATGGTGTCATAGCATGTGTGCACAATGCATGATTATGTTTCTGATAAGACTTACTTATAACCCAATGATCGTTTGTATTTGTTGTTGTAAGTACGACTCTAGCCTTGCATCCTATTCTTGTGATTGGTGTATGAGCAACGTTGATGATCAACAGTATTTACTTTTGATACTCGAAACCCTTCTTTGGAACAACAAAATTCTTGTGTCTTCACATTCCCTTCCACGTCAAGCCGTGTTGTTCCCCGACATGCACTAAACCCATGTTCCCGTGCGAATCCCTTGTAAAAGTGCCAAGCTTGATCACGTGAAGAGAATAGCTGATCAACCAATCTGTCAGATTCATCAACATTATGTACTTCATGGCATTCCTCGGTTGGCTTAACATTGTCTGCATCAGTATTGTGTAAGTTCAGTGGTTCCAACATGAGTTGATGGAAATGTAAGTAAATGTTCATTGAACAACATGTTTCAGTCGTGCTTTCAATAGGATGTGGTATTGGTAGTGGTAGTTAAAGGGTGTGTACAACATTAAATTCGTATGACATATTTAGGTATGTACAATAACCACAAAATTCAATAACTTTAAAGTAATAGGTAAATTTACAATGTAGGTGGTAAAAATAGACTTTTTTAATGACAAAATTAATAAACACAAAGATTTGTTTCCAACATTTTGTCCAGTATGATTCTCAAACATAAAGTTTCTAAAAAAGTGTGTCGATACATTTATTGTAAGTATGAATCCTAAAAACATTGAAGCCAATTATTATAAAATAATAAGTAAAATATACCGGTTTAATGAGAGAATAGGTAAAAAGATGTGTCGATGCATTTTTTAAAAGTATCGACCCCAAAAACATCGAAACCAATAATTATAATGTAATATATAAATTAACAATGTACTCGGTATAAATATATCAGTTAATTACAAAACAGGTAAACATAATGTATCGACACTTGTGGAATTTGTGTTGATACTTATTGTCCAGAATGAATGCCTAAACGAGGTGCACGCATAAAGTGTCGATACATTTATTAAAAGTATCGATCCTAAAAACATCGAAATCGATAATTATGATGTAATAGGTAAATTTATAATGTAACCGGTATAAATATACTGATTTTATGATAGAATAGATCAACATAATGTATCGACACTTTTTAAATATGTGTCGATACTTTTTTCCAAAATGAGTGCCCAACGAAGTGCACGCATAAAATATCGATACATTTAAATTGTATCGATCCCAAAAACATCGAAAACGATAATTATAATGTAATAGGTAAATTTGCAATGTTACAGGTATAAATAAACCGGTTTAGTTAGAAAATAGGTCAATATAAACGCTACTTATTTTATTATATAAACGCTACCTAATATGTTATTGAACTTGATAATATTTCAGGTTAAATGATATAACATAACCGATTTAAATTTTAACCAGTCACTTGTTTAATCAATCATACCGTTTTTTAGCCGTTTTTTAACCGCCGCACAGCAGAACTTCCTGTGTTGCTTTACCTGATTCGTCTGGCCGATGTTTGTGGGCCTGATCTCGGCCACGCTCACATCACTCTGCTCCTCGCCCTCTAATTTTGTTCCCCTCCTAATTTCTTCCCTTTCTTTCTTCGTCTACAAAGGAAATTAGAAACCAATTTTTGTTTTTGTTTCGGTTGGTAGAAAAAGATCCGGAGAGGGCGATTCCTCTGTTTTGGGCAGCCATAAATCCAGGGGATAGTGTTGATAGTGCTTTGAAAGATATGTCCAGTGTAATGAAGCAACAAAATAGAGCAGAGGAAGCAATTGAAGCTGTCAAGTAGATGCTCAGATCAAGCTCAGGAGTCTCTTGGTAACATCCTATTGGATCTCTACAAGGTTTCTTCTTCTTCTTCTTCTTCTTCTTATTTTTCCTTTCACAAATGTAGAAGTTAATCAAGTTTATATGAAATTGCTTTGATCTCAACAGATGGTTATTCTAATTTCCAATCCTGCAGAGATGTGGAAGATTTGATGACTAAATATCTTTATTGAAGCACAAATTGTATTTGATTCAACAAGGGCTGGCTTTCAATGGGAAACGCACCAAGACAGCCCGATCTAACGGAAAGAAATTTCAGGTCTCCGTAGAGCAAGAAGCGACCCAGTTGCTGGTAAAACCTTCAGTCTTTTCATCTTTGTTTCGTTTACACACTCCATGGATACACAAGTTTAAAGAAACATCCATATTTTTTCAGGGAAACTTGGGGTGGGCATTGATGCAGCATAACAACTATGTCGAAGCTGAAGATGCTTATCGGAGGGTGCTTTCGATTTCTACTGATAATAACAAGATGTGTAATCTGGGTATTTGTTTGATGAAGCAAGGGAGAATTGGCGAGTCTAAAGAAACTTTGCGGAGAGTGAAACCGGCAGTGGCTGATGGACCAAGAGGGGTAGATTCCCATCTTAAGGCCTATGAGAGGGCGCAGCAAATGCTAATGGGACTTGAGTCGGAGACTATGAATAAAGAAGGGGATTTGGTCGACCAAAGTCGCCTATTTGATGCATTCCTCGGTTCATCATCAATTTGGCAACCTCAGCCTTGCAAGGACTCTATTATCACCTTGCCAACATCGAATGCAGCAGCCAAATCCCACAATGATTTTGCCGATGAGAACATCAATCCGCAACCGAAACAGGTTGGACATTCTCTAAATATTGTTGCACCACCGTTCTACACATTGAAATTCGTGAAGGAGGTGAAAGTTCCGGTTGTGAATCAATTGCATGAGACCCTTAACAGAACATGGTCAGGGAACTCAGTTAACTCGATCGTAGTGGGAAATTGCATAAAGCTCTTTATTGGCGCCATAAAGCTACAAGCCATAAAGCTACACCCATAAAGCGTGTGATTCATACCAGACGAAGAGACCCTTAAAAGGACAAGGTCAGGGAACTCAGTTAACTTGATCGTAGTGGGAAATTGCATAAAGCCTTTATCTGCAGAAATGGAAAAAACAGAGATTAAGGCAAGAAGGAAGCTCTCCCTTTCATCAAAAGAGAAAGGAGACAAATTGGGTGATTTATTACCAGATAGCGATGACTTTGAAGAGGCTATCATTGCTGCAACAGTTCTTGGCCCAATAAATGAACCAAGGACTCCAAGGATGCTTCAAAAGAAAATTGATAAGAAGCTTAAGGTTTTCCAAGATATTCTTTGTGTCCTAAAGCCTACTAGTTTAGTAAGTAACTTATTCTAAGGTTGGAGATGAACTTGTTCTCTAAACCAACTTGACTCCTATGCCTGAAAAAGGAGTGGCGGTTAGGCATTATTTACACTTTCAAAAGTTTGAGTCTATGCCTCTCAAATATGGATCCACACCCATCAAAATCAAAATAATAAAATTCACCTTCATTTCAAGTATAAGTCTCCTATGCTACTGGAATCCTTTCGGTGAATCTCAACAGTCCGCCATTGGTAACTGGTGGTCATACACACAAGAATTACTTTCTGATCTAATAAACACTAAATTTTGCCTTCTATCAATTTGGCCCGTTGGATGGAGTTCTGCACTTCCAACTCAACCAAGTCAAGCGCTTGTCTCGTTTGAGAGACAAGAACATTTCCCTAGCATTAGGATTGTTGAGTAACTCCAGTGCAGCAAAGTAGACACGCTCTTCAAGACCTTCCATTCCATCCAATTCTTTTATACAACTAGCTATGCTATATCTAGCATTACATTGCTTTACAGCGGCTGTCCTCAGCTTTGAAGCTGCTGCCATCTCCAATATTGCAGCTGCGATAGCATCATCAATTCCCCTGCGTCCCCTTTTGCGACTACTAATTATACCAGAAGCAAGAGGTTGAACTGCATCAGGATCATCTACCACATCCTCTACTTCCTCGGACTCGGATGAGGACTCTTCTTGAATTGTGCTCAATGGTTCCAAAGAAGGGTGGGAGGAAGGAACCTCTCCGCCAAATTCAGCATAGTAGTCATGCTTCCCATTGGTTGTTGGCTCCGACAAAATCGTACAAAGTTGTTTGTAAATCAAGCAGCCACTGGTTTTTATGGCTTCAGCATCTGGATGACCCTGTAAATGAAGAACACGTATGAGCTCGGGTTCAAAGGATTGAAGGAGATTTAATTCACACAGGACAAGCAAGCATATATAGAGAACCTTACCATGATAAAATCAGCCCAAGCTTCATCCTTGCCTATTATATACCCAGTAGATTCATCCCAACTGAAATCACTTCGATCAAGAAGCGACCTCACAAGAACATACTGCCTCCTCAAAACCCCATATCGATTCTTCAATTGCTCCTTGTCCCATTTCAAACCAGTTTTCTTATGGAAGTCATCACACATAGACTTCCATGCTTTCCTGTTGAAAGAATTGTTGCGTCTATTCCCTCTGTGAACCTGTTCAACCAACAGGTCTGCAAGTGTCCTGGTCAGGAATGTCGTCCATCGAGCTCTTGCCTGCTGTTTCTGCTGCTGAGATGGTTGTTGTTGCTGTTGTTGTCTCCTTGACCGAGTAACTCGGCTTGCCATCTACAAATCAACAACCAAAACCATTAATTAACCATGCACAACACTCAACAGTGTTTTAAAATTAAAGCAAACATGGATTCAGTATCAAACACACTTGTAACAGATAAAAATAATAATATATTTCAGAGAAGGGAAACAAATTCCATGACACTACACGACAGAAATTCTAATGACGTCATAGTAACACAAGAAATGCCGGTAGCCAAAGTCGAACAATGCTTTAAAAATCAAGAAAATTGAAAGAAGGAGAGAAAAACGCAGGGAGTGATGCATTAAATTGGCATAAAATCAAACAAAAATGCGAAAAGAGAATCTAAAATTAGAACCCTAACGCGGACAATGATAAAGAAATTGGCGTGAATCTATAATGGAATGGAAGAAAGGACTCACTCACCATCGACGAAATTGGGAGAGAGTAAGATGAAATAAGAGATATTATGATTATGGAGGAACCCTTCTTCTTGAAATGGGAATACAGTAATCGTCCATGCTTCTTGACTCCCACCCAAACAGCCTCCGCGTTTTTTCCCGTTTTCGGTGAGTGAGAGTGTTTTTTAGGGTAAACTACGCCAATGGTCACTGATGTTTGGGTAAGTTTTTGTTTTCAACACTAATGTTTAAAAAGTTACAAATTGGTTACTAACGTTATCGTTTGTCACAAAATGGTCACTGGCCATCAACAACCGTTAGGAGCCATCACGGAAAACACACGTGGAACGTTAGATGCTTACCTGGATGGTTTGATTGCCATGGTGGAAGAAAGCAGTACTCTAACGTTCATTTTCTTCTCCCCTTTAAATAAAACCAATCCCTAACCCTAATCTACCTCTTTTCCTTCATATTTTTCTTTGTTGAAATTTTTCTCAAATCCTTCCCAAGATAAAAGCTCGCTAGGGTGAAGATGGAAGACTCTATTGAAGTTCCACTTTGTAATTGTGGACAACCAGCTAAGGTGGTGACGGCTTGGACGAATGAAAATTGTGGGAGGAGGTTTTTTGGTTGTCGAAACTATGGGAAAAAAATGAGTACAAAATGTCATTTTTTTGTTTGGATTGATCCTCCCATGGTGCCTCGGGAAAGATTTGTTTGCTTAGGGTTGTTGAAGAAATTAAGAAGAGTCGAAAGGGAAAGGAGAAATGAGAGGATTTTTTGGCTTGTTATCTTGATTTTATGTGTCTATAAGCTTTGGGTTAACAAATGAAAATGTTGTTATTTGAATGGTGGATTAAAAGCTTTGTAATGGAAGTTTGAATGTGTTTCCATATTAATTCTTATGGTTCTATTATTTTGCAATGGTTTTTCTTCCTTTGTATGTCTATAAACTTTGATTTTTTGCATTGTGCATTTAATTTTTCTTCATTTGCATTGAACTGCAAGAATAATTAAAAAATGAATATTACAAAGAAATGTCAAAATATGATGTATTTCATTATCAGTAAACTGATACAAGTCAAAATACAAGTAAGAACAATAATTTGTCAAACCTACTCTAATTCAATATCACATTAAGCCTAAAGCTTAATTCATGTCAAAATATGGATAGTTAATAAGTAAACTTTACAAAAAGAATGGCTATGCATCAAAGCCAATCAAGCAGAAATAGGTATATGACAAAGTAAGTCAAGTTCCTAGGTAAACTACACAAAAAGTTCCATCAACATTACCCATTTCATTCTTTTGATGTTGTGTGCAAATCTTGATTGCGAGGGTTAGAAACAAAAGATTCTTGACTGCCAGGCATTGCATGGTCTGTTGTAGATGGTGGCATCATCCAACGGACTGTTGTTGGTGGATTAAGTGGCCTCATTGTAGGTAATTTTGGCCTTAATACTTGTTGCCTTGTAGGTTGGATGGTTCGAGCTTGTCGTTGCATTGGAGTTGAGTGTTGGGATGGCTGGTCAGGTGCATGTGGTTGGCTGGATCCTGATTCATGTTGGTTTAGACTCCTGTTACCGCCAACTTCTCCTCTACAGGTCCTCTTATTCTGGCCAGGTTTACCACACTTAGAGCAATTTCCCATCGAACCTTTCTTGCTTAATTTAGGTTCATTCTTATTTCCTTCATCAGCTTCCTTTCTCCTTTTTTTGGTTGGCCTTCTAGGCGGTCTTCTCAATTCTGGAGGCAGAATAGGCTCCATTTCAGTGACAGGAGTCCATTTCTTAGCACCTATTAACAAAGAAGAAAGAATTTAGAAAATTAACATGACATAAATTATTTAGGTATATGTAAATAGTTGAGTAGTTCACATTTGACAGGACAAATGAAATTAGAATATATTGCAAGTTGTGTGGATTTGTGGTAGCATGTATGAACATAAGGTTCAGGTCGATCATTGTGTAGTTGTATGACTACTACTACATGGATACATGGGATGCCTGTCAGGTCCCATTTTCTACAAGAACAAGAGTGGGAGACCATGTCCACCACATGTTGGTTTCCTGGACCACATTCAACCTGATATTTCAACCCTCCAGCATGTGTAGCGCAACACCTGCATATATCAATAAAAACAACATTGTTCGACAGAATATTTAAACATTCATAATGGTCTGCACATGTCAAATTTCAACATATCTCAACATATTTCAACAACATATCTTAACATATTTGATAGCATATGTCAGTATATCTCAACGAAATATTAAATTTGAAAAGAGTTACCTAGTTGCTTGATAAATTATAATGTTCAACTTCTTCTGAATATTTGGACATAATGGCCCATTAATCTTTTCAGCTACTTCATATCTGCAAACAATTCTTCTCATAATTTTGGTTCTAATTAGCTCCATCATAGTAAGGACGGGCTTGTCTCTAGCTTCCAAAATGATCTGCACAATATATAATTTATTAAGAGTTATAGAAAAATAATATATATATATAAACAATATTATAATAAGATTACCTTGTTAAAACATTCACAAAGGTTATTGAGAAGCATGTCAGATTTAGTAGTGGTGGAGAAGTGTGTTTTGGACCACTGTTGAGGGTTAAGATGTTTCAACCACTCAAATGCATCATTAGACAAAGTCTTCAATTTTGTTATGGCATCTTGGAATTCTCTATCATAAGTTGCTCTAGCAGCTCTCCACAGTGCATCATTAAGATCTTTTCCTTTGTGATCTTTTTTGAAGTTGGCATAAATATGCCTTACACAATTCCTGGCTTCAGCATTAGGGAATAACTCTGTCACAGCTTCAACAAGTCCCTACAAGGATAACTTAATAAATAATTATGATAATATGATTACTAATTTATAATAAATGCAAAAGTTAAGAACATAACATTTTGTCTATCAGACATAAAACACCATCCATATGAGTTGTCAATATCCAAGTCTCTTCCAAGAATTTCCAGAAACCATAACCATGAATACTGATTCTCACTCTCCACAACAGCATATGCTATGGGATAAATTCCACCATTAGCATCAGTACCAACTGCTGCTAGTAAGTAACCAGCATAATAACCCTTCAAGAAGCATCCATCAAGGCTGATAATCCTTCTACAACCTACTTTGAACCCCTCTTTGCAAGCTTGAAGACAAACATACATTCTTTGAAATAGTCTATTATCTAGTTTGCAAACAGTTGTAGTTCCAGCATTTGTATTCCTTAATTCAAGTAAATATTCATAGATCTTTCCATATTGTTCTTTCAATTTACCTTGAATCATTTCTAAGGCATGCTATCTAGCCCTTCCACATTTAGTCAAAGAACAAATTGTCCCATAGTCAGTCATCACATCTTGTTTGAGGGAAGTCAAAGAATAATTCATATCAGACATGAATTTCTGAATATATTTCATCTCGATGAACCTATAACTGACATTCTTATTTTTCAACAACTTAGCACAAGTGTGTTTGGACTCGTAAGTCTAAATATGCCAAGTGTTCGAATCAGAATCATGTGAATGCAATGGGGAAGCCCATAATTTCCATGGACAACCCTCCCTACAAATTGCTTGTAATCTCTTGTTGTCATTAACCTTAAACAAGACAGTTATTCTATTCACCCTCCCATATTGCCTAATTGCCTCCTTTAAAGTCTCTTTACTACAAAACAACATACCCTTTTAAAAATTAGGGTTCTCCATATCAGTCTCTTTATTGAACTCAGGGAAGGTAGGACGAGCATCTGAGTCAGAATCTCTGTCACTGTTTAATTCCCCTGAATTAACAGGACTAGAGTCAAACATTTCATCAGATCTATTATTAAACTCATGCCTACCCATGTCCCCTAAAATATTTATCACATCCTCCTCTACCATACTAGGTAAACTCTCCTCATCATCAAAAGAATTTTCACCATCAGTTTCTTGAAAATCAGAATATGATTCATTAGATCCATTGTTTTCATCTTCTACCACAACTTCTTCAAAATCAGCTTCTGTCCCTCTAACACCTTCATTACTAGACTTGTCTTTCTCATTGTCCCTTTCAACATTACTCATTTCAGCATTATCCATTTCTACACCAACACTTTCAACATTATCCCTTTCAACATTGTCCCTTTCAACACTACCCATTTCAGCATTGTCCCTTTCTACACTACCCATTTCAGCATTGTCCCTTTCTACACTACCCATTTCAGCATTGTCTCTTTCTACACTACCCATTTCATCATTATCCATTTATACACCACCACTTTCAGCATTGTCCCTTTCAACACTACCCATTTCAACATTGTCCCTTTCTACACTACCCATTTCAGCAATATCCATTTCTGCACCACCACTTTCAGCATTATCCATTTCTACACCACCACTTTCAGCATTATCCACTTCTACACCACCACTTTTATAACAACCACTTTCAGTTATACCCTTAAGTTGTGCATAGATGTGAATATATCTATTCCTAGGTAAACTTTGTACCATTTTCATTACATCAGAATCAGTTCCTAAAGAAATAATGGAAGACTCAGTTAATTTTGCATTTGGCAGTAACCAGAATAATTGTAAAGGAGTAGGGACTAATATTTGCTCCATTATTTCACAAAAGTCAAGCAAAGAGATTGTGTCACAATCACACAAGTCAAAATAAGCAATCTTGTTACCAGTGAACTTCATTCTAGGTGAATGTACAAATGATCCATCGTAGTGACACACAACAGAAAATTTTTCATCTTCACGACCTGTAACAAGATTTTTGAATTGATATTCAGCATAGTAGGACCCATAACACACATATACACTTTATCATATTAACATATGATCCAATATTATTACAATATTCAACATGCAAACATGTAGGGTCTGCAACAATACAATATTCAGAATATTTATAGTTACAAGCATATCACACATATACACATAAATAGTCATAAAGTCAGCATAATTTATCAAATCCTTGTGGTCCACAAGAACACAATATTAACCATTATTTTTCAAACATGTATGGATCACAACATTACAACATTCATAAAATATTATTAAATTGCATGGTCTACAACAAAATAAAACATTCAACATACAAAAAACTCAAAAAAAACAAAGTCAATATATCCCACATATTTCAGAAATTTCAACATTCAACATATCCCACATGTCAAAACCTTTACAACATAAAGCATATAACAAACAAATAGCATGAAAAGTGGATACATGATTTCAAGTGGATATAAAGTGATCATATCAAGAAAATATCATATAGCATAAAGTACAAATACTTTATGTTGGACAGAAATCATATAACATATAACATAAAGCATTGCCAGTAGAGTTGTAAAGTTGTACAACATATCATATAAACATGAAAAGTGGTCATATAAACAGAAAATATTGCAAGTCTAGTTGTAAAGTTGTCAACAGAAAATCAACATTACTTCAACATAAACCACATACATTTTCTATCAAAAGAAAATAGAAAACATTGCAAGTAAAGTTGTCAACAGAAAATCAACATTATTTCAACATAAACCACATACATTTTATGTCAACACAATATCAGTACAGTTGTCAAAAATCAAGAATCAAGAGTAATATAAAACAAAATATTTGACATTATTTCAAAAAAAAACCCATTCAATTTTCTGGCAAAATTCTAGGTTAATATATTTTCTCTCAAATTGAAAATACAGCTTACCGTAAAGCATGACGTTGTCCCCTTTTTGTCGTAACCTCCATGTCAGAACCATCTTTACTTTAAACCCTAAAAATTTCCTCGAACCCCTCTTATATCGAAGTGTTGCTCGTTATTTTCTTTTAATCGCTTTCTATGTTTCCTCTCTTTGTTTCCTCAAGTTTTCGGTTTATGGTTTTCTCAAACACCTTCTGCAACTCTCTGAAACTGCTTCATTCGTGAAAGAGGAAGTGAAGAATGGAATCAAAATAGAATCAGATGCATCCCCTTTATTTTCCCTGCTCATTTTATGTTTAATTATTTTTTGGCTAAATTTTTGGTAAAACACTGGTCAACGGGAGAAGTGAGGTTCTCCACTGTGGCAATCAAACCATCCAGGTAAGCATCTAACGTTCCACGTGTGTTTTTCGTGACGGCTCTTAACGGCTGTTAACGGCCAGTGACCATTTTGTGACAAACGATAACGTTAATAACCAATTTGTAACTTTTTAAACATTAGTGGTGAAAACGAAAATTTACCCAAACATCAGTGATCATTGGTGTAGTTTACCCTTTTTTATCTTTTCTAAAAGTGATTTTAGAATCAAAAATATTTTTAAACTAAAATCATTAATAAAAATATTTTTTAAAATGATTTTTTAATATTAATTTTAAATTATAAAACCCTAAACAAGATTAAGCATAGTATGTCATATCAGGTTATCCAAGCAACCACAATTTAATTTTTTTTTATTTTTCAATATAAATCGAAATCATAATAAATTCAAACCATTGAATTTACAAAGTATTTAAAATAAGTTTGCAAATAGGAGCTTCATTTATAATTTTATCAAAATAATCTCAAATCATAAACAGGTTTTGCACACCAAATACAAGTAAGTTACTTATAGATATATATACTCACTAAAGTATTTAGATATTATATTCATAAAACATATGTTAGAATTTTTCGATGAAGAAGCTCCTTGAACTACTCAAGTTCACTAACTTGCAAATGAAAACATTCAAATATTGAATGTATGCATCATAAATTATTATAAATATAAGCATGCTTACAGGATATACAATTAGTAAATACATGTTTCACAATCCAAGGCATAGGATACTTAAGATCAACAATATAAGTCTCACCGTTGAAGAAATAGACTTTGTATATCCGATAATTAAGATTTAAAGTTGGTATTCTTTGTAAGGCTTGTTGCAACTCATTTTCAATTTATTCAAGCTCTATAAAAATATACTAAGAGATTTATTGATGGTATAGGATGAAAAAATTCATAATAAACTTTAATCTCGAAAAGGTCGTTAAAATATACATTCAAGAAAGTGTTAAGACTTTACAGTGTCTCAATCTCTATTATCTTGGATCTAGATCATCAATTTGTTCTTGATTCTAGAAATCATTGTAAGAGATGTAGGAACTCGTATACATCATAATATTATCTTTCATCCAAAAATGAATGGATAATTCCATAGAGTTATTCAAACTTTAGAAGATATGTTTTGGGCTTGTTCCATTACTTTGAGGGTGGTTGAAAAAATACCTACCCTTAATTAAACTTTTGTACAATAATAACTATCAATCTTCCATTCAAATGGATCCTTTTAAAACTATGCATGAACGTAAGTTTTGTACTCCTTTTTGTTAGTCTAAATTGGGTCAAAACGAATTAATTGGTTTAGAATTAATTCAAGAAATTGAGAAAAATATATTGATCCGAGATTTTTTTATAGTTGCATTTGATAGACAAAAATCCAATATAAATCTTAGAGATATTAAGTTCGATATTGAAGACATTGTGTCTCTGAAAGTTTCTCCATAGAAAAATTTTACCTCATGTCTTCAATGAACTACACTCAATCTGATATTACTAATACAGAGAATAGACTGAAATATACTCATAATCTTAATAGTGAGCATTTGAATGCTCTAAAACTTTTAGGTACTTTACAGGTACAATGGATTGGAAAATTGGATTGATTGAAAGCCTACCATCACATAGGGATATTGTGATACGAACTAGGTAGTCATGATGAGATTAGCTATACCATTGGGTATGCGAAGCAACTATTTCAGAAATCTATTTAGTATACATGTATTACTCGCTTCACTGTGGAATTAAAGCTCACTACTTTTAACTTAATTGACTTAAAGTTGAGTGCCTTAGGAATTGATTAGCAAAAATCATTTTATAGGGAAAATCAGCCCCACATGCAGTGGTAAATCCAAATATATATATATATATTAATAACACAAATTTTTTGTACATGGTGGGCATAAATAAAATTTCAGGGTGCACACAATCGATAAAATAAGTAATTAATCAAATAAAATTCAAATTTTAGTGTCCACCCTAAACAAAGCATACATCTGCGACCGCCCCGTGTATCTTTATTATATGACTCACGAGTAGTAATTTGTGTTGTTTATAGTAAAGTTTACTGTGGTAAGAAGAGAGATTATTCTTATAAGACATAAGTCTAAGCCTTAAGTCTATTATTTTAAGAATTCATGATTGATACCCAACTTAATTTTCTAAGTTTCATATGGTCAAATGAAGCTATAGAAAGACTCATAGTGTAAATTCTTACCTATCTCAATGGTGAACATGCACAAGATTGTGATTTTGTTCTTAATGAATTCATATCTTAAGATTTAGATGGTCCTAGAAAAACGGAGATGAATTCACCAATGTGAAAATGATGAGTTCTTTACTCTTATTGAGTTCATATCCAAGAAATTGAATATTCCTAGTGAGAATGACTTGATGAACTCACTAATAGGAGGTTGAATTTTATACACTTAATGAATTGGTATCTTACAAGTTGTGTGGTTTCTTTAAGAACTTGATAAGTTCACTTTTAAATTTAGAGGAAACATTTACGAAAACTCTTTTAATTATTTTAAAGTTATGATTCAGATGATTTATATTAATACAAATTTGATGAAATTACCATATGTAAGTGTAAAGAATTAACCACATTCTATAGAAGACATTGGATAGCCTTTCTAGAACACTTTACCAACATCTTGAGGTGTATTGCCTAAATTTTAAAACCAATGCAAAATTCAATCGCATGAAGATGTTATGAGTTTACTCCTTCTAACAAATGTTATATTTATTCACATGTTAAGATAATAAGTATTCTTACGTATTAGTTTTAGATATATTCGCTAATACTTAAGTGCTAATTTCATTGTTTCTATCCTCGCATTTTATTTCAAAATCCTCTTGTCTCGTTCTTAGTTCGAGCAAAAGTTGGAATGTGAAATCAGTATTAGGTGGGGTGTGGGCGTGGCAATAGTGAGTACGATATATTCTTTGATGTTTTTGGCGTGATGGGACTCATCTATTTTCCAAGTGCTCAGTTGCATATGGGATCTTATTCATCGTCAAACTAGATGCCTTTACTTTGCATTTTAAAATTTGAATTCAATGATCAACCTTCTCCAAGATAACTCGCTTAAGATTTCAAAGCATAAAAAAGGATTTGAATTGACCTTCCAAGACCATTAAATTACAAGTAAACAGGCATTGTGTGGTTACTTTATAAAAAAAAGATGGGATATGGCAAAAATGGACGGTTCACAGTTGACAACTTTTTGTTGGAACTTATACCCCAATTTGCATGCATGCATCCACACCTCCCATTCACCAAAGTTATTCACCTCCTCACTATATAAACGATTGTTGTAATCATTACAGCATTAAAGATAATTCTAAGTGAAGAAGCTCTTGTTCTTATGGCATCAACGAGAATTCTCAAGGAGCTCAGGGAATTGCAGAGAGACCCTCCAACTTCATGCAGTGCAGGTAAATATACAGGAGCAGCAGCAAAAACTGATATTTAGGGTTTAACTTGATCGTCTATTTTGTGGTGAAATTCAGGTCCGGTGGCAGAAGACATGTTCCAATGGCAAGCCACAATACTTGGGCCAAGTGAAAGCCCCTACTGCGGTGGGGTTTTCATCGTGAGCACCCACTTCCCTCCGGACTACCCTTTCAAGCCTCCCAAGGTAAACCCTAAGGTTTAATTATGATTTAGTCCCTCTACTTTTGGTAATGTTGATAACATTAAGAAACGACGGGCAGGTTGCGTTTAAAACCAGAGTGTTCCACCCAAACATAAACAGCAATGGGAATATCTGTTTAGATATTCTTAAGGAGCAATGGAGTTCTGCACTCACCATTTCCAAGGTCTTACTTTCGGTATGCTCACTGCTGACGGACCCTAATCCTGATGATCCACTTGTCCCTGAGATTGCTCATATGTACAAGACTGACGCACTCAAGTACGAGACGATAGCTCGTAGCTGGACTCACAAGTATGCCATGGGTTGACTCACTCAACACCCTCCCATGTTTAATTTTGTACCCTCAATCTAAATAAATGAATCACTCTGTTTCTGCTACACCGTCGCTCTGATTGGTTTTAGAAATTGTAGATTCATTTATTTGTTTCAAATTTTAAGTTTAAATTATTGATTTTTATGATCAAATTCGAATTAATTGGATTGAATTTATACGTCGGCGTTAAAATTAATAAATATACTCTCAACAATAAATTTATTGGAAGAAAAACATAAAAGTAGAAGACAGAAAGAAGAAACTTTGGTGATAGCGTGGAATCAAAGCAGAATAATAAGAGAAGGATTGATGGAAAGGCAAGAAGGTGAATCATAGATATAGCGATTCACTTAACATAACATTTGGGTACATGATTAGAGTTATTAAATCGAAATGTTATTTTTAAATTTAAATTTCAAATTAGGGTAAAAAATATAAATATAACACTAGGAAAATTTGATAAATTTAGATACTAAATTATATATTAAGTCTTGTAGTAATGGTTGACAGAAAAATAGATTTTTTAATATTTTATTATTATTTTAAAATTTACCTATTTCATTTCATAAAATATGACTATATAAAAATTAATATTTTAGAATCTATCTTTTATTTGAGTTTATTTGGTTAGGTTTTCAACATCTCCTTATATAATCATTTTATGATCTTAAATGACTAATCTATTGTATTAATGATCGTAATTGTAAACTTTCATTATAATTTAGATATTAATAATATTTCTATATTTAATAATTAATTTATAATTTTCTATAATCAAAGGATTAAAAACAATCTCAGGAGACTATTTTGGTGTATTAAATGGGAATGGATGGGGGAATCCCAAGTTTGAGTTTGATTATTCTTCCCATCCGCAACAACACGCGTCAGCAATTAATTGGTTCTAAGTGGGTATTATACGATGAGGTTGCATCGTTCGTCAAGATAACCCATCCTCTATTTAAGAAATAGATTCTTTCTAAATTGTAAATTCATCCTATAGAAGAAAAAGTCTACCTTTTTTTGTAATTTGTCCCAAAAAAACCCTGATTAGTTCAATCTCTTGCTTTCAATCTGTTGAAGAATTGATTTCAAAAAGATGTCAGGGAGAAAGATTACTTTGAAGAGCTCGGACGGTGAATCCTTCGAGGTCGATGAAGTGGTGGCTTTGGAATCTCAGACCATCAAGCATATGATCGAAGACGACTGCGCCGATAACGGAATCCCCTTGCCCAACGTCACCAGTAAGATTCTCGCCAAGGTTATTGAGTACTGCAAAAAGCACGTCGACACTCCTAAGACCGACGATCGATCAGCCGATGAAGACCTTAAGACTTGGGACGCTGACTTCGTCAAGGTCGATCAATCTACTCTCTTCGATCTCATTCTGGTTAGTCTCTCTCTCTCTCTCTCTGTTGATGTTTCAATTATCTGTAACTTTTTTATCGATGGCTAGCTAGGCCGCTAGGGTTTTGGAATAGGGGATATAGGAGGAACAAAATAAATACAATTTGAACTTTTAGTTGTTTTTGGGTATATGGTAATTGTGATGCGAATGGGCTTTCCGCGTAATTGGGCATCTTCTTTATTGTGTTCAAATCGTTTGCTTTTAGTGATCTATGCTTCGATGAACACGCAATCGTGTACAAGTCGTAGAGTTTTCCGAAATTTGAAGAAACTATTGTAGATTGTAGTGTATCTTGTTTTTAAAAGGATCTATACAAATATGCTGTGGCACTTCTTATGTATAACTCAAAATTCCCTGATTTTGTTTGATTCTCTCTTCGTTTAGTGATGAAACTGTTATTGTAGAATCAGAAGCCTAACTTGTGTGATTAGATGGCCTAGTTTGCTTCTTTACTAATGCCTTGTGTAAGTTGTAACCATAAGCAAAAAAAAAAGCATCAGAATCATGAAATTCGGTACCTTCTTATCAGTGATTGTTTTGAGATTGTTCATATAACTGCAATTTAACAATAAGAACACTAAATCTATAACTAATTGGTACTCTGTGCGAGTTGCAGTTTGGGTAAGGCCTACTTGTTGCAGTTTAGGTAAGGCCTACTTGTTACTCAGCGGAATTACTGTTGCAGATGAACAATAATTCTCTCTTTTTCATTAGGTTTTGTTGAAAACATCCTCTCTCTTTTTTTTACTGTGATCTTGCAGGCAGCAAACTATTTGAACATCAAAGGCTTGCTGGATCTTACTTGTCAAACCGTTGCAGACATGATAAAGGGAAAGACACCTGAAGAGATCAGGAAGACATTTAACATCAAGAATGACTTCACCCCTGAGGAGGAAGAGGAAGTTCGCCGTGAGAATCAGTGGGCATTTGAATGAAGTATTCCCTATTCGGATGTCATATTACATGTATTTAATTGCTATGGCTTTCCTTCTTTCGCTGTTTTCATTGCTACTTTTAGATTTTCTGAGCTCTTTAAGTGACTTGTATGTTCATACAGTACAATTTCACCAGAAGTATGTTTAGTATCAAATGATTTCATTATATCCGTTCCTTAAATATTTGGTTTTTGAGGTGAATACTTCTGAAATGAGCCGAGCAGAGAATCAGATATCCTCACCAGGCATGTCCCAAATGATTTGCAGCACTGTACTAGCTTTTAAAATGAATCTTCTAAAATATTTTATAATAAAGATTAATTTATGAAATTTGAAATTATGAGAGATTTACGAGGTAATTTTACTAAAATTTATTAAGGATAACGTTTAAAGATGTTAAAATTTTCGTTTACAACTTTCTCTATTATTTTTCTAAGAACCAAACAGAAAGTTTATTTTTTTTAAATGAAAATGTTGTTAGAGCATAAATATTATACATAATCAAGTTTAAATGACATTAATATTTGTCTGAGTTTAAGTGACATTTATATGTGGAGTCTCTAAATTTTAGTCATTTAACGGTTTGCATGCCACACTTGGTATTGGAGGGCCTGATCCTCACTCTGTAGTGAAAAATAAATATGCAAGCAATGACAATATTATTGAAGATACGATAATCAAACAACGAATAAGTTAGAATGAACTTAAAGGGATTTGTTAAATGAATTTGAAACGAACAAAAACAAGTTTTATTTGCCATTTGATTTCAGTAAATAAATTGTGCATTTGTCTCATGAACTGTACTTCTTCTATAACATGGTAAAAACAAATCTCTGCTATGGAACTTATCATCTCTAAAAATAAAGTATCAATAAAAATATAAAGAAAATATTTAAATTATAATGAAAGTTGAGATTTTGATGAGGTAAGTGCCTCTGACCACGCTTTTCCAGTCTATTCCTAGATCTGTAACCCCTCAGACTGATACGGGTAACTCGATCCGATCTAGAGTGTCACATTAAGGTCACCGGAGCAACCCACTGTAAAAATAGCGGAAAATTTAAAACTTTTATTAAAACATGTAACTTATAAAATAATTTATCGGTATGCATAAATAAAACAGATTTTTAGACTCGTATATAAAACAAAATACAATTACATGCCCCATAATAACATGTATCGTACTCTGTAAACAGCACCGGAAGAACTCCCTTACTGAAGTCGATAGCTGCACTGGTACAATTCTTTTAACCTGAAAAGGTGAGTAATAGAGTGAGCTTTGGAAAGCTCAGTAATACAGAACTACCAGATGATGCTGAAGAACGTGCAGATACAAATAAACATATATTTCCTTATTGGTTTCGAACATCTACTAAGCGAATATCCTAATGATATTTCAGGTAGTAACAGATAATATTTCGGATGGAAATATTTCGGATGTCTAGGTTCAGGAAATCAGGATAGACTATCTAGTGTGTTCCCGTAAAACCAATAAAAAGATACAGATCTTTTAAAACATATATATATATATATATATATACCCCCATCCTTTCACAATCTGTTTGTGTAGGTTCCCCAGAACCATACACCCAACCTACACAACCTGTAAGGCCCTGAGCACAAAGCCAAGGAACCTGCAGAAATACTTCCTTCAACAATACCCCCAATTAAAACATTTTTCCGTCGGTAAACGGAGATATCAGAAATCAAAACAGAATTCATAACAGAATTAATATCAGAAATCAGAACTGAATTCAGGTCATGTATCATAAAAAGAATTCAAGTCAGAAATCAGATAAAATATTTATGTGATTATTATGGATATTATTCAGAGGTACAGGATAATCTTAACAGGCAAAGACATACGGATCTTCAGTATACTGATAGAATGTCGGAATTTAGAATCACTATAGGAAGAGTTTAATAACTGACAGATTCATCAGTTATTCAGAATATGACTTGAACTGATAAAGAAGAAATGAAGGTTCAAGATATTTACATTGTTGAGTTAATCGATTGACGGAATCGGCCAAGAGGGAGGTGAATTGGCAATTAAAATTTTGGTAGAAGCTTTTGCAGAAAATTGAAAGTAATTGCACAACGATTTAGAGTGGTTCGACTTTCTCAACCAAAGTCTACGTCCACTATCTTAGCTATCCACACTAAGGATTTTCCAACAAATTCACTAATTTGTTCTTTCTTTTGAGGACAAAGAGTAACCTTACAACTCCCTCAAGAATTATACCCTAAATTCTTGAGCACACTCTTTTTCAAAGAGAAATACACAAATTTGCAAACTTACGAGGAAAACCTCACAAGGTAAGATGTTTGCACAATTCTAGAACAGGAAAAGAACACTCAAAAATAATTACAAATGAGCACAAATGGTGTTCTTGAAAGCAAAATGAATATTGAAAGGAAAATTGGCTTGATTTGCACAAACTTGGTGTTTGATGCTTTCTCTCTTGTTTCTCTATGATTTCTTATTGATCAAAGGCTTCAGAACTTGTTTAAATACTCCCTCAATTGATTCTGAACGTTGGGAATGATTAGTAGAGTCAATGGAGCCGTTTAAGTGTGAAAACTATTAATACAACAGCTTGGAGCGTGGGGGAAATCGGTACCCCTCATGGGGAATCGGTTCCCTAAGTGTAAAATTCAAATATTTCGACCGTTAAACAGGGGGAATCGATACCCCCTAGGGGGAATCGGTTCCCTCCGAGCATACTGGAATTCTCGAAGCCAAACCATTCAAGGGGGAATCGGTACCCCCTTGGGGGGAATCGGTTCCCTCTGAGCAATCTGGAATTTTTGGCTTTGAGATGGTTCGAAGTACTTTGTAAAATTATTTTGAAATTGTTTTAAGATTAAAACTTAATTTTACACTTGAGTAAGGATTAAAAATGACTTTTGAAAGATTTAGAGTAATGTTTTGATATTCGAATAATTATATCGAATATACTTAAAAAATCATTCAGAAAATCTTAAAATTCATTTAACTTAATTTGTTATATCGAAATATCAAAATGTTTTCAACAATCTCCCCCTTTTTGATATAACAAAACATTTTAGTAATTTTAAGATTTTGAAATCAAAAATGACGTTTTTGAAAAATTACTCCCCCTTACTTTAACACTTCTCCCATTTAAAACATTTAACACTTCTCCCCTTTTTTGTTAAATCAAAAAGACTCGTAAAAGATTTTAAACAAGGTTTTTGAAATAATTTAGCCAATTGAATATATATAGTTTAAGCTGTTAAGATCACAATCAAGAGAAACGTTAGCCATTAGTTTCATAATTCAATATTCATAAACAATGTGAAATGGCAAAAATTGGTCATAATGCAACTAATATGTAAATGATGCAAAAATAAACATTAAGCTCAAAATGAAAGTGAAAATCAAACCAAATATATAAACATGTAAGTTCAAATATCCAATTATCCAAAAAAAACACCCAAAATAAAACAATCCATGAACATCAAAATGTTTCACAATTAAAAGTTCTGAGTTCGGGACGATAAACACATTGACCCAATGACCGAGTTTGATAAACAAATTACTAAGGAGACAACCATAAACCAATGTTTCTATATTCTTGGAAGGAACAATATTTATGGAAACTCACTAAAGATGATATGTGGCAGATTAATCTTCTTTTTATGTTGGATACAATATATTCACCATATATCTATGTTCCTAAGGGAGGAGTACCTACCTCCGGATGGTCTAAACCACCAAGAGATCAAATAATGAAGGAATCTATCACGATGAGTTCTTAGGGTACTCTCATTATCCTTAGACTTATAGGGTGAATCCACAGTCTCTTTTTCATTAAACCTGAGTTATCTAGTCCAAAATGGGTAGCGATTATGCCGGAGTCAATAAAAATGAATTGTCCTAAAAGATAGGATCGAATTCCTATAGTTTCAGATCGGCGCTCGTTTTGGACACATACCACATTGGAATAGAAAAATGTGGACTAATTGATGATAAACCAAAGGTTTGAGTTTAAAGAGTTTATCAAACTTCTAGGATTTAAGAGTAGGAAGATATTGGAAGTTCATATCTTCTATAGCTTGGATCGAAGGGATACGTTCTTCCCGGATTTTGTATGACTCAAAACAAGTATGGTACATACGGTATAGATCTTGTCCACAACCAGGTACGTTGAAACAAGAGTTCATAATGGTCATATTTGGGTTATTTGGATTGGGTGGAGGAATAAGAGGTCGATTTTGACTTGAGCTACTAGACAATGTCCTAGGTCATTTAGGATTTGACATGGTTTAAGAATCAGAATAGAATATGTAACCTGCAAATTTAAACACATGTATGCAATATAATCAAATCCAAAACTCAAATGAGTCCTCAATATTTCAAGGTTCTCTAAACCTAATCCTAAAGGGCAATGTATTGAAAAATTATTTGGAAAATAATGTTTGAAAATCATAATACGCATAGTTTTTATGAAAACAACATAATTGAATCCAAAACATCAATTAAAGCAATAATTCTCGATTTTTTTTTATTTCGAAATTAAAAGATAATTTTGAAAAATTGAGTGTTTTTTACGAAATTGGTTGTAAAATCATCATATAACCAATGCCCGATGTAATGTTCATCTTAGAACTAATCAAAACTAGTCCTAAGTTCAAAAATCAATGAAATAAAGGATTTTGAAATATTACCTTGAAAATTTGGATTTTATGAGAATGTGATGTTGTTTGCAAGGATTAGAAGTTGAAGAAAGATCTAATTTCGACTTGTATTTGATGATTTTGGCAAAAATGGAGATTTAGAGAGAAAGAGAGGATGAACAACATTTAAGATAGAAGAGAGGGTTTTAAGAGAAAAGGTTTTGTTTAATAACCAAAACTCATGGGGGTATTGATTCCCTAAATGAGGGAATCAGTTCCCATTCAAAGGGGGAATCGATTCCCCTTTAAGGGGGTATCGATTCCCTCTGCCCTATAATTCAAAAATCTGTATTTTAAACACTCAAAATGCTAAATTAATCTTTTCTAGTGGTATTGGCAACTCATATATAAAAAATTAATCACGTTCAAACAATCAAATTAATCTTTAAACTATATTTGAACATAAAGTTAATTTTCATCAAGAATCATAAACTTCCCCTAACTAATAGCAATGAATGCAATCAAAAATTACTATTCTAAGCATTTTTCATTTAGTCTTAAAAGTGCTAAAATTATTTTAAACACTAAGTGAAGATAGGTTGGTTAAACCTAATTCTCTCCTAAGTGTCCAAAATCTTTCCTTGTCTAAAGGTTTTGTAAAGATATCCGCTAATTGGTGCAAAGTATCAACAAATTCTATAACTACATCTTCCTTAGTGACATGGTCTCTAATGAAGTGATGTCTTATTTCAATGTGCTTAGTTCTAGAGTGTTGGATGGGATTTTTAGTGAGACAAATAGCACTAGTATTGTCACACTTGATAGGAATGGTACCTACTTCAATTCCATAATCAAAAAGTTGTTGTTTCATCCATAAAACTTGTGCACAACAACTACCAGCTGAAATGTATTCGGCTTCAGTGGTAGATAATGTAACACAATTTTGTTTCTTTAAAAACCAAGAAATCAGCATATTTCCAAGGAATTGGCAAGTACCGGAGGTGTTTTTCCTATCTAATTTGCATCCTCCATAATCCGCATCAGAAAAGGCATGCAAGCTAAAGCTAGAGTCTCTAGGATACCAAAGTCCTAAACTAGGAGTGTCCTTAAGGTATCTAAAGATTCTCTTAACAGCTAGTAAATGTGATTCCTTAGGGCATGATTGAAATCTAGCACATAAGCAAACACTAAACATAATATCCGGTCTACTTGCAGTTAGATAAAGTAGAGATCCAATCATTGACCTATATAATTTAACATTTATACATTTACCTCCTTCATCTAAGTCAAGTTTTGTTGAAGAGCTCATTGAAGTGTCATGAGGTTTTCCATTTTCCAGTCCAAACTTCTTGAGCATATCTTTGACGTACTTAGCTTGATTGATGAAGATGTCATCTTTTCTTTGCTTAATTTGGAGTCCTAAGAAAAATGAGAGCTCCCCCATCATGCTCATCTCAAACTCACTTTGAATTAGCTTAGAAAATTCTTGGCAAAGAACATCATTAGTAGAACCAAATATTATATCATCAACATAAATTTGAACTACTAATAAATCTTTACCTTTATGCTTTAAAAACAATGTAGTGTCAACCTTCCCTTTTGAAAAACCTTTTTCAATTAAAAAATTTGACAATCTTTCATACCAAGCTCTAGGAGCTTGTTTTAAACCATAAAGAGCTTTTGTCAATTTAAGAACATGATCCGGAAATTTTGAATCTTCAAAACCTGGAGGTTGTTCCACATACACTTCTTCCTTTATAAAACCATTTAAAAATGCACTTTTAACATCCATTTGATATAATTTAAATTCATGAAAACATGCAAATGCTAGTAACATTCTAATTGCTTCCATCCTAGCTACGGGAGCGTATGTTTCATCATAGTCTATGCCCTCTTCTTGAGTATACCCTTGAGCAACAAGTCTAGCCTTGTTTCTCACTATATTACCACTCTCATCAAGCTTATTCCTAAATACCCATCTAGTACCTACAGTAGATTTATTACTAGGCCTTTCAACTAATGTCCATACTTTACTTCTCTCAAATTGATTTAACTCTTCTTGCATAGACATAATCCAATGTTCATCATTTAATGCTTCTTTAATATTCTTAGGCTCTATGCATGAGATAAGTGCAACATAATTACAAATATTTCTAAGAGAAGATCGAGTTGTTACCCCTTTGGATGGATCACCTATAATCTCACCATCCTTGACATAGTTGTACTCTCTTGGATAAGATACTTCCCTTTCTTCAATGGTTGGATTTTCAAGAGGATCATGAGTTTCCTCATTTTTCGTTTCTTCCTTTGATGATGGTTCATCAACGTCATGTCTAACTTCATTTGTATTTATAATACCTACATCATCATTCACACAAGAATCCTTCCTCGGAAGGGGATTATCATCGAAAACAACATGTATAGACTCTTCTACAACTAAAGTTCTTTTATTAAATACTCGATAAGCTTTAGAATTTAAGGAATAACCCAGAAAAATTCCTTCATCACTTTTAGCATCAAATTTGTCAAGGTTTTCTTTATCGTTGTTTAAAACAAAACATTTACATCCAAAAGGATGAAAATAGCTAATGTTAGGCTTTTTATTTTTGAAAAATTCATATGGAGTTTTCTTTAAAATAGGCCTAATCATTACTCGATTTACAACATAACAAGCGGTATTTGTGGCTTCCGCCCAAAAATATTTTGGCAAATTATTTTCACAAAACATGGTTCTAGCCATTTCTTCTAAAGTTCGATTTTTCCTCTCAACAACTACATTTTGTTGAGGGGTTATAGGTGCTGAAAAATTGTGACTAATACCATTAGAATTACAAAACTCAGTAAATCCAAGATTTTCAAATTCAGTGCCATGATCACTCCTAACACTAGTTATAGAGTAACCTTTATCGTTTTAGATTAGTTTTGAAAATGTGATGAATTTTTCTAATGCTTCATCTTTAGTACTTAAGAATAGAACCCAAATATATCTAGAATAGTCATCTACCAAGACAAATGCATATTGTTTTCCACTCAAGCTAGTAGTCCTAGTTGGCCCAAAAATATCTATATGGATCAATTGTAATACTCTACTAGTTGATACGTCATTAATGGATTTAAAAGAAACTCGCTTTTGTTTTCCTTTAGCACAAGCATCACAGATTTTATCATTATCAAATTTAAGCTTAGGCAACCCTCGAACTAAATCACCTTGAGTTAGCCATTACAAAACACTCATACTAGCATGTCATAGTCTCCTATGCCATAACCAACTATCATGCTCATCCTTAGCAACTAAGCACAAAATATTCATATCATTAAAATTTAAATGCATCATGTATATATCCCTATTTTATGACCAACAAGCATAATCGAAAATAGATATAATGTCAATCAATTTTGCAATCATTTAAAATAAAACATTGTATCTTTTATCAAATTTATTTTTCAAAAGATTATGCTTTTAACCCATTCATATATAAAACATTATGCAATGTTGATTATAGAGATTAAGAGCACATGCATAAAGTTTTTGAAAATGTTATGCATTAAAACTTTATAATATTTAAACAAAAATCTATGCATAAACATTAAGAAAAATTTCAAGTCAAAATTTTGCAAAACCAAAGTTCTTGAAAAATCGATATCAATTGTTAAAGAGATATCAATCACATTTAAAAAAAATTTGACCAAAAAATAATATGATGAACTAGACTTTATAAAACATTACAAAAAATTACCATGTTCATCATACAATATTTTTTTAACATACATGAGATAAAACATAATTCAACATTTTAAAACCTCATGCATGCATAAACTAAATGAGCAACCAAATAATAAAAACATTAAGTTTAGAGGTTACCCATTTCCTTTTTATGTGTGGCTAAAGCATCTTGAATATCATCATCTTTATCACCATTGCTCTCACACACCTACAAGAGACATTTAAGTATATTTTGGTATCCAAATTGCTTTGGATCCTTGAACATTAGTTTTAATGCCTCTTGTTCCTTTTGGAACCCATACTTGTCTAATTTTAAATCGTTTTCCTTTCTTTGAAGGACAAGTATGTTCCTTATGACCATGATAATGAAAATGTGAACATATTGTCATTATTGAACTAGATGAATTATTTAGAATGATCTCTTTTTCTCTTGTTAAACATTCAAGTTTATCTTTCAAATTGAAATTTTCTTTTTCGATACTTTTAAATTTCATTTTTGAGAGTTCTAAATCCTTCTTCAAGATTTCATTTTGATTTTCAAAATCCATTTTCATTTCTAGAAGAAGTTTGTTTAATTTGAAAATTTCTTTTTCAAAGTTTTCAGATTTTATTTTTGAAAGCTTTAACTCCTTTCTCAACATTTCATTTTGATTTTCCAAGTCTGTTTTAGCTTTTAAAAGAAGATCATTTTTAGCAATAAATTTAGAAATCAATTTATTGTATTTGGAGTTCATGGTCTCAAACTCCAAAAATAATTTATCATAAGCATCTTGTAACTCATTAAAAGATTTTGAATTTGATATATTTGAGTTAGAAGATACCTTTGGCTTTGTGAGAGCTAATAAAGACATCACTTTTATTGGTTCTTCTTCTTCCTTGTCTCTATAGATCTCCTCAAGCTTATCCCACATTTCCTTGGCACTTGAACAAGAAGAAACTCCTTTATATACATTAGGATCAATTACACAACACAACATGTGCATAGCCTTTGAGTTTTATTGAGTTTCATTCCGTTCTTGAACACTCCACTTCTTTGTCTTCTTAGTATGAGAGGAATATCCTTTCTTGATTATCATCCAAGCTTCCATATCAAATGCTTTGATGAATATCATCATACACCTCTTCCAATGATGATAATTTGTTCCATTGAAGTTTGGAGGCACGTCAATAGATATGGATTCTTCCATGGAGAATGAACCGGAAGTAGACGCCATCTTTATCGATTTAACTCTTCCTGGATCGACTCAAGAGGCGATTAAACCTTCAAATGAGTAAGGCTCTGATGCCAATTGTTGAGTTAATCGATTGACAGAATCGGCCAAGAGGGGGTGAATTGGCAATTAAAATTTTGGTGGAAGCTTTTGCAGAAAATTGAAAGTAATTGCACAGCGATTTAGAGTGGTTCGACTTTCTCAACCAAAGTCTATGTCTACTACCTTAGCTATCCATACTAAGGATTTTCCAACAAATTCACTAATTTGTTCTTTATTTTGAGGAAAAAGAGTAACCTTACAACTCCCTCAAGAATTATACCCCAAATTCTTGAGCACACTCTTTTTCAAAGAGAAATATACAAATTTGCAAACTTACAAGGAAAACCTCACAAGGTAAGATGTTTGCACAATTCTAGAACAAGAAAAGAACACTAAAAAATAATTACAAATGAGCACAAATGGTGTTCTTGAAAGCAAAATGAATATTGAAAGGAAAATTGGCTTGATTTGCACAAACTTGGTGTTTGATGCTTTCTCTCTTGTTTCTCTATGATTTCTTATTGATCAAAGGCTTCAAAACTTGTTTAAATACTCCCTCAATTGATTTTGAATGTTGGGGATGATTAGTGGAGTCAATAGAGTCGTTTAAGTGTGAAAACCATTAATACAACAGCTTAGAGCGTGGGGGAATCGGTACCCCTCATGGGGAATCGGTTCCCTAAGTATAAAATTCAAATATTTCGACCGTTAAACAGGGGGAATTGATACCCCCTGGGGGGAATCAGTTCCCTCCGAGCATACTGGAATTCTCGGAGCCAAACCATTTAGGGGGAATCGGTACCCCCTTGGGGGGGAATCAGTTCCCTCTGAGCAATCTGAAATTTTTGGCTTTGAAATGGTTCGAAATACTTTGTAAAATTATTTTGAAATTGTTTTAAGATTAAAACTTAATTTTACACTTGAGTAAGGATTAAAAATGACTTTTGAAAGATTTAGAGTAATGTTTTGATATTCGAATAATTATATCAAATATACTTAAAAAATCATTCGGAAAATCTTAAAATTCATTTAACTTAATTTGTTATATCAAAATATCAAAAAATTTTCAACATACATTCTATGTTGATTGATTTCATTATCAAACAACTTCAAATGAGTATCTCCCAAAATTAATGCTTGTCGACTGATCAATTCATTGTCCTTACATGGTATTTACACTTTAATACCACAAATTCTAGTCCATATACCATCTTCGAAATCATCGCTGAATAAATCTTCCAATGTCTTTATTTCATTTTCACGCTTCCACTATATCATGAAATGTTGACATACTTGATTTGTAATTCATGATCCATAAGAACATTACATCATGTATGTTCATTAACATTTTTAGACTCATCCAAATCACTTACTTAATCCTTAGTCCTTGAGGTTACTTAATTTATTTAGCAGTCAAGTCCATTCCAGTTACTTCGGGGTTTTCCAGAGTAATTTGTACGTTTCTGAATTTCGGATACATATTGTACTCCTGTTCCGTTCAATTTGGTCTTTATGGTTGATTTGTCTAACGAATATCCCCTTCTTAGTACAAAATGCAATCTAGAATTAAGCTGGGCTGAATACTTCCAAAATTATCATCGAATCAAACTTGAGAAGTCGAACACACATTAAGTAACATCTATGCCGTTCTGGTACTGATATAACGGTAGCATTGGTTGCTCGGCTTAATATGTGATCCATAACTTTTAAGATCAGTGCCACACCTATGTTTATTTGGATTCCTTAATTGATCCAACATCTACTTAGTCTATGTTATAAGGGTATTTTGGTCATTTTGATGCTTAATATTTTTCCATTCATTTCAAAGCTTGAGGATGTTCATTCATTCCTGGGCTTGGTGATATTCTTTAATCATTTCCATTACAAGAGTATTTTGGTCATTTTATAGATCTAGGGTATTTCAATCATTTCCTTCCGTCTGGTCTTATTATTTAATTCAAACTTATCATCTACTTCAGGCCTTTCGACAATTCTGATAAAATAACACCATCGATAAATTATTCTTCATGTGTTTACTCAACTCGGAGATTTCTAGGTTAAATGCTTTCTCAGATGCTACTAACGGAATATCATGAATTTTTCTGCACTAAGTTAAGATCTTAACAATCAAATCCGTACTTAATCGAGTTAAGTACGAATCCTCAAAGTACTTTCTCATTCAGGGTCAACTCAGACTATTTTACCTCTCAAGGGCATTTTCATAATTTCTTAACCAGATAATTTCAATATTAACTCTTAAAAAAAATAATATAATATAGAGATCCAATGATTAATTGCTTTCTTGAACATTCTCTGATCTTGAAATAATTCCCTTAACAGACTTCTAGTATCTTGCACAAACCCTCTTGGGGTTAAAAACTTATTATCCAAATTTTCTAAGCAAACTAGCATTTCTTATACACATCTGTAGTTTTATCAGTTCTATAAGTCTTTTCAGAGTTATTAATCAACTTTCAGGTACAATTCTTATCATTTTACAACATAGGGGTATTTTCATAATTTTACTTAATCGAAATATTCTCATAATTTATCATCCAAGTATCTTTAATGAGATAAATTATAATCTACATATCCATGATTGATTCCTTTATCACTTAATTCCAGAACTTGAAATTTAATTTCAACTGTCCTCCAATTCTTATAATAGTCATCTGAGCCATATTCAGTTACCTATTTTCTACTGTCCTTCAATTCTTATAATAGTCATCTGAGCCATATTCAGTTACCTATTTTCTACCGCATTCATATCGAGTGTAGAACTTCATTAATTACGCATATGAGACCAAACATTTCCATTCATGCATTTACCAATACCAACATGTTCTATAAAGCACAAAGAGGTAGTAATGTATTACCTCGATTTTCCGTGCCATATCGATTAACCATTTAAATTCCATTTGAACGACCTCGATCTTTAATTTAACTTCCAATATTTTCCTCACGATACAAGCCATCAAAATTATTAACTCGTATCCAAATAATTTCCCTCACCATAAAAATAACTTATTAGAATCTAAATAATAATTTAAGGACTCAATTGGTAAAATTGAAAACTAATGTTGCCATCAAAATAGTTAATTACTTAAATTAGAGACTAAATTGATCTTGTAAAAACTATTATGTCATAACTATAACCACTTGGAAACTAAGAGACAACGTAAAGATCTCACCAAACTTGGATGACATACCTTGTGATTTACCCCTTTTTGCATGATATCAATAATTCCCCCACAACCCACGTGCCTTGCTATTCCCATTTACATTTATTTATTATTATTTTCCATTAAAATAGCCAAATGATAAGCACTAAATCAGCTAGGAAAAGAAGAAAGCCGGTGGAGATTCCCAACGACGAGACCAACCCATGCATAGTCGATAAGCGGCGATGGCTTCCCTCCTTGCCTCCCTAGCACGCACAGCCCATGATGTTATTGGCTGTCCAAAGAATGTTGTATCTATGGAATTCTTTCGATGGATCAAACCAAAGGCCATAGCGTTCCTCTCGCCCTCGGTTCGTGCTGCAACCATGGAAGTTGGCAACTTTTAAATCTCTATTTCCCCAACAAAATATTCGATGGAAAGCTCCCCAGGAACCTGCAATGAAAGTGAACGTTGATGCTAGCTTCAAATTAAATACACAATCTGTAGCAATTGGGGTGGTAATAAGAGACATGGATGGCTACATTTTGGGAGCAACTATACTCTTACTCATCATGTTCTTTCCTCTTTTGCCGCAGAAGCTGATGCAACCATTCAGGGACTCTTATTAGCTTCGGACTTGGCGTTTCATCGAATTGTGCCCGAAGTTGACTCCCGATCCATCTCTTCTAAGCTCAATTCTCATTATGGTAATTAAGTTGCCCATGCATTAGCCCACCTTCGGTACTCTATGTCTTCTGACCAGACTTGGGTGAAGGAAGCTCCGGTTCAAATCGTGATCCCTCTTGTGTTTACATCAGATCCTTAAGCCTTATGTCTTGTTCTACAACTCTTAACTTGGAAGTTCCTCTCCATTATTGAAGGCAGTGTGCATCTCAGCTGGACTAGTCTCTCATTTGCTTTTCTAGGTGTTTGATTGGGCACAACACGATTATAATAAAAATAATAGAAATACAAACTGAAAGTATGAAACATAATTGCTACGAGCAAAACAGGTGGCCGACAAACATTAATGGCCTTAGGTGTCCGAAAAGGACATTGGGCCTAACACACCTAACTAATTATCACTACCAGCCAATATATATGTGGCCTTAATAATTGGGTTGTTACAAGATCTGATCATACACACATCGAGCAGAGCTACTAAAGCCACTGATTAAGGATGGGATCCCATGTTTGGTGCCAACGGATGGGAAGATACTGATGACACAATGAAGGATAGCAATGCTGCTCAGGATTCAGCTACAACGAATTAGGAATAGGAAGTAAGTTGGATCCCTTTATATTGCTATTTATCTTTGTAAATTGCTTCTTCTTACTTTGCTCTCCCCCTTGAATTGCATTTCAGAATGGAAAACTGTTCTTGGGATGAGAACAAATACGATTGGTGTTTTCCAAAGCTACTGGAATGAGCATAAAAATATTTCGTTTTTCTCGAGAATTGTGTTGCTAAACTCAATGCATTGAAATCTTTTTGTGCTATATCATTATGCATTGAACCATATCTTGAAAAAGAATGTTTTGCCTGTAAATTACACTAGAATTAATCTAAGGTTTCTCAAGAACTGAAAAAGATTCATGCCGGTTGGGGTCAATTATATTCCATCACCGTGTTGCTTTCTTATAACTTAGAAGCATGCTTGTCCAATCCACTGTACGATGATGTTATGGGACATTTAACTCACTTACCTATTGGATATGCCTGCAACTGATATCCGGATTGCCGTTCGGGTTTGAATCTTTTCGAATGAATCTGATTACAGGAAGCTCAGTTTACGCCTATCGGCCGATCAAGTGATATTAGCTTCTATTGAAACAATTTCGGGTATATATCAACCACTCAAGACAACTCGTTTGCAGTAATTTTGCTTTCTTTGGATGTAATTGTGTAGAAAGTCGTATGTTATTATATATTGGGGATATGTTTAACATTTTTGCAAAAAGCAAATGGTTGTGGCCAAGTAGATAGTTGCTTCACCTACAACTTGATTGGTGTAAGAATAGAGGAAGCAAAAACAGTAGGGCTATGTGGTGATGAAGACGGATACGTAAAACGGTTGATGAGCAAGTTTACCTTAACAAGATGTTGATATATGTTATGTTTGTTCATTAAAGCTTGGAGGAAAAGAAAGTTTCCATTGCCGGGAATTGAACTCGGGTCTCCTGGGTGAAAGCCAGATATCTTAACCACTGGACGACAATGGAATGTTTACTTGTTTTGTATTATAGCTATATTAAATTATAATCATAAGATTCCTTTAGAGAATGACAAAAAGTTTTCTTATATTTTTAATATCAGGACATATATAAGAGTATAAATTTAGTTAGAATGTGTCCTAAACTTTCTTCTGGATCTACTTCATTTCAAAATAAGTTGTTCTTTTTATCAACAATAATCTCTTTACTATAGTAGTTATTAAATAAACGGTCCAAACCCCTTTATTTGAAATTGATAAAATCTAAAACTCTTGTATTTTTTTTTTGTCTCCTCTATTGTTTTCTTTGATACCTAAAAACGAGTACAACTGGTGATGGATTCACTAAGGGTTTACGGTGGAACTTAAATCTAATTTTTTTTAGATAAATATTTATTTTATTGACTGTGCTCACTTTGAAATTTTATTTATGTTCATATTATAAAAAAATTATGAAATTAATATATACGTGTGTTCGACCTTCAAAAAAATATTTTCAGAATCTGATATTTGTATTAGGATGTAGTTTTTCAATTTGATTTGATTTTGAAAAACCAATTATATTATAACTGATATTTTAAACATTGTCATTCATAGTTATTTATATAATTATATATTACTCAAAAAATCACATAACTGTTTTAACGATAGTTCAAAAGCGTGAGTTAAACCAATTCTAGATTTGTTGTTAAGGCTAGGGTTGCAAACGAGTCTAATCGAATTTAAGTATTATTCAGTTTAACTGACTTGAAAACTCACGAGCTTAAAATTATCATGTTTGACTTGAACTCGAAATAAAAAAATAAAATTCAACCCGAGCTCCAAAAAAACTAGAAAACAAAATATTCTCAAACTTAGTTTGATTGAAGTTCAAATTCGAGCTTGAGCTTGAATCTTAAGTACATGAAATTCTTGTACTATATTTTTTTATAGAGAGGACAACATATAAATGTTAATATTATTAATAATTTAATTTGAAAATCTAAAAATTTAATATATTAATTATTCACAAACTTTTTGAATCGGGTATTAAATAATTCGTCTCAATTCGTTAAGAATTTGAATTGAATCATATACATTCGTTTCAAGAATTGATTGAACTTTAACCAATCAATCTTTGAATAGCTTGTACTTTCGCTATGAGGGAAAAAAAGAGAGAAAAAGAATGTTTATTTCGTATTTTTTAAGCTAATAGAATGTTTGAAAAGGCATGGAACAGAATGTGTGGAAGGCATGTTTATGCATACAGACTTATTATAAATTAGAATCAAATGTCAGAGAAGAATCCAAATAAAAAATAAATGTTTTCACATTCGCCCGCTGCATTTTTAGTACCAATAAGTCTTTAACTATGCGATATTAATTGGAACTATCGCTACCTGTAATTTGGATGCAATGCACCGACTCTCGAATACTACTCCCTGCCTTTTATTTATTTATTTTTGCTACATACTCCAACTTCTATTTATTCTCATAGAGACTGCCTCTATATGCCCATAATTACAATTGTTTGAGCCAAAAAAGGAATAAAGTAGTTTTACTTATCACCTGAGTTCGTTCCCATGGAGAAAAATGGAGATGGGGTTCATGGTAAGGATTACGTAGATCCTCCACCATCTCCCTTGTTGGACATGGAGGAGCTTAAGAGCTGGTCGTTTTACAGAGCTGTCCTTGCCGAGTTTGTTGCTACTCTTTTATTCCTTTACGTATTAGTTGCCACTGTTATTGGTTACAAAAGGGAAACCAGTCCCTGTGACGGCGTTGGTCCCCTCGGTATTGCTTGGGCCGTCGGTGGCATGATCTTCGTTCTCGTCTACTGCACCGCCGGAATCTCTGGTAAGTGGTAACCCTAAAAGCATTATGCTAAATGCTAATTAATCATTGTTATGAGCTAATAGGTCAATGTTGGTTACTTTGACATTTGTTAAACAGGTGGTCACATTAATCCGGCGGTAACGTTGGGGTTGTTCGTGGCCCGGAAGGTTTCACTGGTTCGAGCGTTCGCCTACATGGTGGCGCAGTGTTTGGGAGCTATTTTTGGCGTGGGTTTAGCGAAGTCTGTCACGAAGCACTACTACGATACACTAGGTGGCGCTGTAAACGCCGTGGCTCCCGGGAACTCGAAGGGCGCCGCTTTGGGAGCTGAGATCATCGGAACTTTTGTCCTTGTCTACACCGTTTTCTCTGCCACCGATCCCAAAAGAAATGCACGCGATTCCCATGTCCCCGTGAGTATAAATGAAAAGTCACTTAAATGAGTATTAGTGCAGTTTTGCATATGAGTTTCTTCTGATTCGGTGTGGGTTTAGGTGTTGGCTCCGTTGCCAATAGGATTTGCTGTCTTTGTGGTGCACCTTGCCACCATTCCGATCACCGGAACCGGCATTAACCCGGCCAGGAGCCTCGGTGCTGCTGTGATGTACAACAGTGGAAAAGCGTGGGATGATCAGGTAGTACATATATAGCTAATTTGATTTTTCAGCATGGTAGATCAACTTATTCTGCCCATTGTGGATTGAATACTAACTTAAAATTTGGTGAAAATAGTGGATATTTTGGGTTGGCCCTTTCATTGGAGCGGTGGCCGCGGCAGCATATCATGAGTACGCACTGAGAGCTACGGCCATCAAAGCCTTGAAATCTTTCCGCAGCAGCTATTCAAGTTAAACGCCTGCCCCTGCTGTCTATGCTGTTTCTTTTGGACAATTTATGCTCTTTTAGTCTAGTTTTCGTTGTGTCTCGGTGATACATCACTTGTCGTGTGTTGTGATTCTAAGTGGTATTTAGGGATGAATGTACGAAAAATCGTTCTCTTAAAAATTTTAAATTATTATATATTTTAGATGTTTTCTATTAATGATATATTTTTGTGTTTTAAAATTGGAAGGATGAATAGCAGCCGCAGGCTTATGTAATTGCATGGGTGAACATTAATTCACCAAATGTTTGCATGCAAAATAAGTTTGGGTAAATCTATTAAGTGGTGAAAGTGAAAAAATTTCACCGTTTATGAATTTAAATAGTTACTTTTATAAAGTATATACGCATTGTTAATAAATTAATAAAATTTTAAATAAATATTATTTTATAATCAGATCGTACGGTTAAAAAAAATGAACTTTGATAACACAATTTTCTTGCAAATGAAGACCGACCGCATTTAGTGGCTAAAAGCCCCACAGATTCTCCATAATCTACGGATTTTCGTATTTGACGATGTTATATAGCATGAACTTTCTTCTGAAGTCGTCATCGAAATTAGCGGTCCAAATATTTGACCCCACCAATAACATTAAGTCCCGAGTAGAATATACATATTTTATTTAATAAAAGGTAGACAAATTGGACAGCATGTCTCTGGTTCTCCACCATTAGCGGTAACTGATACATCAAGGGAAGAGGCACTTAATTTTCCATGATGTAGGGCGTTGTGCTTAGATCGATATTCATCTGAATTTTATTATTAAAACATAAATAATATACTTTTTTAATATTTATATTTAATTTTCATATATTGTAAAAATCATGTGAGTCATAACAATAAGAAATAATATTCGATAAAATCCAGAAAGCTCTGGTCCAACGTTAATTGAGTGAAGTTCGTATTTTAAATAGATTTAATTAGGTTCATGTATAATAATGAGACTTTTCGCAGATAACCTTGGACATATACAATAATGAGCAACTACAATCTACAAAATATAAATTCATAAGTCAAGGTAGACGTGCAACGCATTTTGGAAGAAATTGACCGGCAGCTCCAACAGAGTGGGTGCCATGTTAGTTAGGTCTACGGATGGATCGAAGCGACATATTAGAATAATTATCTCTTTTGAAAATTTTAAATTAATATATATATTATATTTTTAATTGATAATTTATTTTCGTGATCTAAAATTTTATAAATTTATTCTCTTCTAATTTTTTAAAAAAATTTATCCGTGCTAACATAAAATCATATATTCTTTCCTGAATTATTAGTCACGGAAACACATCTACGTTCATGTGGTATCCCCCGCAAATTATCCCTCGACAAACTCTTTGTTCATTTCAAACTTTCTAACAGGGCAGTTGAAAAGGATTGTCTGGATTCTCAACAAAGTATTTCTACTAACTAATGGTCAACCAAAGATTTAAATCCTTAATATGTGTCTACTAAATTTAGTCGAGTCAAATTTAAAATTTTGAGTTAATTAAATTGATAAATTATGTTTTATTGTTTAAATTTTAATTGTTTTTTTAATTAAGTTTATTCGAGTTAAGTTAAATCAGATATGTTTGAGTTTATGTTATGATATTGATTGATTCTAATTCTCTTTTATTAAATATAATCTAAATGTATATAATATATTTTAGTTGTAAGATAAAAGTATGATATTCCATTAAACAATTACGGTCAGATAGACTTTAAACAAATAACCTAAAATGTTTTGACGACCAATACAGGAAAGGTAAAAAGAAGAAACCCTAAATCATCACGTCAATGCTACGTTGAAAGCAAGCTTTGAGCTGCTACAGAAATCTTAATAGAAAATTTCAAAGTGTTTCTCTAAAAATTAAGAAAAGGAGGTCTCTGCCTGCTCCCATACTAATTATGGATTACTTAAGGTATTTACTTAATAAAATAATAAATCTGATACAATTTTATTATGTTTCTATAGATTATTAATAAAATATTAAATTAAAATTTCAAAGTAACGTTGGAAACAACCCAAAGAACTAATATCTTATGCTATATTTTGTTGGAGTGTTATTTTTTCTTTATATTTGAATATATAAATTAACAATAAATTAATTTTATCAGTTATTATTTAGTTAGTTATGTGGATATATATATATATATATATATATATATATATATATATATATATATATATATATATATATATATATATATATATATATATATATATATATATATATATATATTATAGTATCTTTCTTTGAAGATTCATTTCAAAGCGATAATTTTTCCGCAAGACGTTTAATATTTTAGAATGACTAAATCATTATGATCTATAAGAGGTGTGTCGAAAGAAGATTGTTTTCTTCTGATATCATTCTGTCATATGATATTCAGATACTTGAAATACATAACAAAGCTCTTGCAATGCCCATGATAATTGTGAAACCTTGCATCAAGCATGCAATGGAACATAGTAAATGTGCACACAGCCACAACAGTTCTTAGCCAAAGCATCAGTAGCTGCAGCTGCCCGCTCGAAAATTCAACATGTTTAACCGAATCGTCCACAGCTTGCAAGATTGGGGGCTTTTAAGAAGGTAACATGTCCTGTTCTTTGGGAAAGATAAGGACTTCTGTCTGTTGTTTGGAGCACAAGTGAACCATGCTTTAAAGAATAAGCTCAAGTTAAACAAAACATGGACTCCAAGTTTTATAAGAAATGTAAGGAATACTGTAATATAATCAACTGTATCACAAAATCAAAACATATATACAACCCTGTGTAAGAAAGGGAAAGAAAAGCAAAAAGCAAGCATGCTTCCCTCTGCTGTGTATACCTATAACAGTACGTATGGTACAAGGTCTGGTATAAATAATATGATCAAATCAAAGCAAAAAATGGAATGAGAGCAAGTGTGAAAGTGTAAAACAAGGTTTTGAGGCGGGTTGACGGATTTGTAATGGATGACGGTGCCCCTGAATTGTTAGGACCATTCCTATTCCCTGCTGTGGCTTCAGGATTGACGGCAACGGCAGGAGGGAAGGCAGTTGACGGCTTCACTGGTAATGTGTTTGAGGTCTCTTTATCATAACCTGTTGAAATCCATTGTTACAAATTCAAGAGATGATAAAACGGACCAGCATTAAACGCAGAGAAAACAAACATAAGTTACTCACAGTCGGATGGTTTCCAGCCCAGTACCATCTTCTCACGATCAAAAACTATACGATATCCCGTCATGAAATTTTCTGGTTTCCATGTAACAAAAGAAAAAAGTGTAAGAAGCTATATCCTCTGATTATCAATTGTTCACTGTTATCAGAAGTTGTATCTCAGAGAGTTATGGAATTCATTATAACAAATTGTGAATGCAGAGCTATACTAGGCAATGCTGTCTGTTGATACCAATGATCAGAATTCGTTATCGAGTACGAACATAAGCAACAAAAATAAGTAATGCTAATTGTGCCAGAAGATACTTACGTCCAATGATATCGACATTGTCACTTTTCACAACACCTAAACAGTATACATCTCCAGCCTGGAAATCGAAAAAGAAAAGATTAAATTTCAAGGCAAGTCAAGTGCATCTAAATAGAATCAAAATGTACTTCTTTTACCTGTAAGGAAATCACTACGATTGGATCATTAACAAAAAAGTAATCTCCACCTTTCATAGTCAGATTCACAACGGGGTACTTAAAGCTGCTTTGATTTGTACTGCAAGGTGAAAGTTGAAGTCAGTGCCTAGGGCCTTAGGCATAAAACCAAAGTCCTTTTCTGTAGGTCTAAACAAATAGATTATACCTCAGGTCATAACAATATTCAAAGGGAAGGTCGGAAGAATTAGACGATGTATGCCGATTCTCTATGGCCAAATTGTTGAACTGCCACAAAACACAATGAAAAATACTTACACGGGAAGAAAATGGAACTGAGGAAACATCATGGAATATGTGATTTAAACTACTTACACTCTCAGAAATAAGTGTATAAGCCGGGTCATTCAAATATGTAAACGATGTACCGGAGTCAAAAATTGCATTGAATTCAAGATCTGCAGTATTCCCTCCAACATTTATTTGAGTGAGACTGACATTGTAAGTGGGGCTGAAAATGAATATCAATAAGAGATCCGCAAAAACCAAAATCAGAATCATTTCTAAGGCTGCATGTTGCACTAAAAAATTCATTATCGTCATTGATGCAGTCATAAAAAATGTAGACGCTTACTGTCGTTGCCTGAGATTAAACGGTGTTTCTCCTTGATCTGAGCTGCCCCGATCACCAAAAGTGATTCTTCCAACCCCATCATGTCCGAAACACATAGAAAAAGAATTCGGAGCAATGTTTTCTTTTGCTAATATGCTAGGAACTGATATATTGTCCAAACCAAGCCCGAAAAGACCATTAGGAGCAGCACCGTTTAAGAATGATCCAGTCTGAACCTGCCCACAACTGCAATAGAGTACAACAATCACAAGGGAAACAAGAAGTTATTTTCCAAGACAGCCTAGTAGAATTCCGGCATTGACGACAATGTTTCTTAATGCAAAGGGAACTAAAAGTTACAAACCCGAAAGTAATATTAGCTTGAACGGCTTTGGTTTTATCTTCATCAGTAGTTAAGTGCAAGACATCCTCCACCAAGACCCCAATAGAAGAAGTACCATTCGAGAGATAGAGAACTTGATAAGGGCAATCACTTTGAGGTGAAGAACATTGGCTTTGTTGTTCACACAGGGCGCTGTTACAGGGAACCTTGGAGCCTGTGGATGACGTATTAGGGCTATAGATGCTAAATTCTATCATCTGAAACACAAAAGTTACCAGCAGACACCATAAAAAAATGGTTGCTCATGCATCAATACTACATTAAATCACAAGTTGTTGAAGAATATGTAAGAATTTAGTTATAACATTTGAAAGAAGAAAAAGGTTACCTGATTATCAGATGTCCTGAGGCCTTGCACGCAACGGGTGCAATCACATGGCAACCAGAAGAGATCGCTGCCGGTGTCTAGTGCCACCAAAAACGACAAGACAGGCGTCCCTACCGATACATTGGCGTAATGCAAACTGTAAAATCCCCAGAAATTGGAAAACTATAAGTCAACAATTCAATCATTTTGCAAGAAGAAAATTCCACGAAGGAAGCTGAAATATGTATAATTGACACAATTTTTTCCCAATATAAATTCATAAACACAATTCTTTTCCCTCAAATTTGTTTTTTCTTGTTAAGTTTCCACCTGCAAAACAAGGTCCAAACCTACTGCATAGTGAAGCCGAGTATTAAAACAAAAGGAAACTAATCCAGTTTTTCTCAGAAAACAAGCAGGGAAAAATATCAGCTTTTCCTACAACAAAAATTGAACAAACAAATTGCCCCCAGTAATCTCAAAATCCAGCTTCCAAGTTCCAACTAGTTTTGAACTATTACAAGAGCAAAAAACCAATAATTATCCAATAACAAAATAAATAAATTTATATAAAGAAAAACAAAAGGAGGAAAGAAATCATACAATCCCAAGTCATCCAATCGATAAGTCTCATTTCCATCGAGAAACGTAACAGGCGTCTGATCATTAGCCGTCGCCAATCTACGGCCCTTAATTATCTTATCACGGTGAACCATAGCAGTATAATACTCCGGACTTCCCTTCGCCGGCAACTCATCGATGGCCAGGATTTGCTTAACCGGATCCGAATAGCGATGATGGATATCAAAGCCGAAAGTTCCGAAGCCCCAACAAGTTCCCGCGCTCCATCCCAACACCAGTAATAACAACACACAACTGCAACTACTTAACTCCCTCATGTCTGAACTCCAACCAAAAAAAGAAAAACACAATTATGGTGGGTTTTGGCCTTTGGGAGCTACACTTAAGAAACCCGAATCTTTAAATTACGTTTTGAGGTTTGGTTGGAGCTTTCACGAAAAAAAACATCGCAAGTCAAATTACGATTTTTAGCTTTGAGTTTGATGAACAGACGAAGCCACTCGAGTTTGGTACGCCAACTCAAATCTGGGACCCTCGCAAATGTAATAAATTTATTCTTTCTTTCTTTTTTTCTCTCGACAAGCCCTTGTATTTTGGAGGGTTTTCACTTATGTATAAGTTTAACTATGACTTTACGAAAATAGAGATTTAGTCTCCTTATTTTAATTTGTTAGAATCTGATCTTTGTATTTTATAGATTATTGCGTATTTTTTTTATTAATTTCATAGATATATAAACTATAGATTTCAAATCCCCGATTTAACAACAGAGTTTACAATTTTAATTAATTAAATTATTATTTTTTGGTTTTTGTAAAATGAAGTAACAAAAATCTAATAAATGAAAATATATAAACTAATTTTCTAATTTTTATAAAGATAGAAACTAGTAATGCAGAAAATGGTTTCTTTTTTAGAAACAAATTAAACGAGAAATGGAAGTACAGAGTTAAGTTTAGAGTGTTGTGGGTAATTAGAGTAATTTATAATATCTTTAATTGTTTGAAAATCCACTTTTTTTAAAAAAAAACAAAAAAAAAATATGCAAACTCCAAAACCTCTCATAAGTTATTTGTTCCTTTCAAATTATGCATTTTGCAATGCAAGTTTTAGTGAGTTATGTTTAATTCCTTTCATTGAATGAGATCCATCATACAGGTGGTTGCATCATTACTAACAAAATTAGAAATAAATCATCTTGTTATCTATATCTATTTATATTAACTTAATAATTCATAATAGAAACCCAAAGAGCGGTCTTAGTGGACAAAGAGTAATACGTTCTTTCTATGTTATCTAAGTTTGAACAGTATTTGTCTGTGTGATATATGTGTGTGAGCTTATTCAAGAAAAAAACAATACAAATATTATCATGAAGCAATAAAAAAAATTCATAATTGAGTTTTCTCACTTAGATCTCTTCTATTGGTCAAAACTAATAAATTTAATGGGATATCAAATATCAACTTAGTGTGTGAAATAAATAAATATACAATATATATATAAATTTTAAAATAATTTTTAGTTTAACTACAACTTATGATATTGGTCAACTAATTCAAATTAAATAATGTAGAGGTATATTATAGAATGCTTTTTCTAATTTTATTTATAACGTTGAGACTCGAACACTTTCTGTTATTTAAAAATGTTAATATATTATCTTATTAAATTAATTAATTAGTAGTTAAAAACAAATTTCTTAACTATTTTCTCTGTTTGCAATCACTTGGAAACTTTTTTACGTGTAATATATATGCATATTAAAAGTTTGACATTTTGATGTAATATATAAAAATGAAGTAAATAGCTATTGCGGTTAGTTAAACAGGGAAATATTAATTAACATAATTAATGATGATTAAATAAAAAGGAATGAATTGTGAAAAGAATAGGGTGAAGGCGAAGTGTGGAAGAAAGAAGGATATGATTCAAAATGGGAAAAGTTTTATTTCTTTAATTAATTTATATGAATGGGTCCATCAAAACAAAACTAAAAATCCCAATTGCAATACCAAAAGAGAATGATTCAACAACTTCAAGGTGCAGGCCGATGAACTAAGAGCTCTATTATTTCAAAATAAATTATACAAATTAACTTACTGCTATGAAAAAAAATTTTAAAAAAAATTATATATCTATTTTTATTTTTAAAAAATACTCTATTAAAATTTTAGGCATTATTTTCTTATTTTTATATATCATGAATACCTTTGCTTAATGTCTACTTTTGGTTGGTTAGCAATCCAAATCATAAACGAAAGAGACAATTATATAAAAAATAAGTCGCACGCAATCCTACATTCACAAACACCCAATTTGCGGCAACAGTTGGGGCCTTACCTACTTGATTCGCTGATGACTCTTGCATCTGTCTAGCCCCCTTTTTTTAATCCATTCCTAAATTATTAAGAGAAATGTTATATTTTTATTAGGTGACGAGTTACATAAGATAAATATACAATTTATCAAATAAAAAACGTATTTTTATTTTGCATGGCACAATCTCTTAACATTCGAGAATATTTATCAAATATTTTCAATTAATGTAGGACAAAAGCGTGCCTTAACAAATGTGCTAAACATGCTCACTCAACAAAATTGTATACTAAATAATGATTTGAATATGTCATTTCCTTGAATAATTTAGGGACTGATGACATTGTAATTAAAAAAAAAGTCATCTATCTACCCTAGTTGAATTATTATTATTTTTTTTGTTCAAAGTTGTAATAATAAATTTAGTGGTTGCCTCCTGCCAATATATGATACAATTCATTTGGTGAAATCCATGTCCCTTGATAATAAGGTCAACTCTTTATCTGAGTCAGCTTATGCATTGCTGGCCCCATACAAATGCATGCATGCATGCATGCTAGGTCAAAACAAAATTCAAACATCAATTTGCAAAGTTGAAATTTTCAGACGCAGTCAAAACATACAGGGCAAAACTGTTTGATTGTTTTATTTCCAGCAAAACTGTGCTACATTCGATCCCTATTCTTTCCTAAATGATCAAAAGGAAATCAAAAGATATACTACAATCTATCTGTATGGCATTGATGCACATCTGAAATGATCAAAACGAAGTAGACATCTAAACCATATATGCCATATGCTTGGATCTGACTGAAGGTGAAGCATGCCCTATAATAATAGGGCCAATATGGAGATGGCCAGAAGAGAGATATGGAAACGGCAAGATCGCAAGCCAAAAGAACTGCCGGAATTGGTATTGTTGGCATCTTTATTACTTGACTCGGGGGTTGAATAATTATGGATTCCAGCAGCAACAGCAGGAGGTTCAGAGGCAGCATACGTTTCTACTTCTGATGTATTAGTTTCCTCAACATCGTAACCTATGTAAAAAGCCATTGAGTTTTCGCATGTAAACACGCTCGGATGAGAAAGCATAAAGGAAAAGCATCACTTACAATCAAACTTCTTCCATCCCAAGACAAATCTTTCTCGGTCGAACACCACATGGTAACCGGTCATAAAGTTTTCTGTTTAGAAGAAACAACAACCCAATAAGCAAAAACATAAAATATTGGAAATTATGTTACGTTGCATAATTCACCTATCTTCATACAGTTGGGAAACAAAAGAACAACCCAAGTTTGCCTTTTAACCACGTGCAACTTAAGCACTCAAATAACATCATGCTATATGCAAGACTTACGTCCAATAATATTCAATTCCGTACTCTTGATGACAGCCAAGCAGTATACAAGTTTACTCTGCAAATCATCAGATATCAAATTGTTTAATGAAATTTTCAGTCCAGAGTACAAAAGAAAATGAAAGAATAAAGTCCACGAACAGAATACCCGAGTAGAAATGACGATTATTGGGTCGTGTACAGGAAAGTGATGTCCACCTTTCATCGTTAAACTCATACTGGGTATTAAAGTAGCATTTGCATCAGGGCTGCATTCCACAAAGAAAAACGATAAGTTAGTTCAAAATTCAAACCAAGTGGAGAAAAACGATATGTGAAGCAAGACTCGTTCACAGACCTCATGTCGTAGCAGTACTCAAAAGGGATCCTTGAATCAGGTGGACGACGCCTATCTTGTGCTTGAGAATGGAACTGTAGAAGAGCACAAAATTATGAAGTTGCAACACCTAGTTTTATTGGTTTTCAACATGCAAAATACTTACATTCTCTGCAAGGTTTGAATATGCTGGGTCAACCAAGTATGTAAATGAGGTCCCGGAATCAAAAAGAGCAGTAATATCACCAGCGATTATAGTTGTCCCCACCCGAATTTGAGTTACAGTAATGTTATAGGTTGGACTGCAGCATAAATCATGACTAGATATTAAAGAGTAAGACAACATTTCAAAGCAAATTACTACACCATTCTAAATTAACAGTTGATCAGCAAAATAAGAAAATTACCACTTACTGTGATGGGTTGAGATTAAATGGGGTCTCTTGCTGGTCAGGACTACCTTTGTCACCAAAACTGATCCTTCCAATTCCATCACTTCCAAAACACATGGAGAAGGAATTAGCTGTTAAACCTTCCTGTGATAAAATGCTAGGAACTGCAATCTTCTCCATGCCAAGCCCAAACAAACCATTGGGAGCTGCAACATCGAGGAATGAACCGCTCTGTACCTGCCCACAGCTGCACAATTCATATTGCATTTTCATCTGAACCTAGACAAGAGTCGGGAAACAAATATCGGCCTACACAAAAGGTATGCTGAGTAGTTAAGCTGAATATTAAGAGAGCTTACCCAAATGTGACATATGCCTCAACCAACTTCGGATGACCATCTCCGGTCGTCAGGTGAAGAACATCCTCCAGTAGAACCCCAGAAGTAGAAGTTTGAGCTGACATGTAAGACACTATGTATGGACAACTACTGAATGTTCCAAGACATTGGTTACGGTGTGCACACAAGCTACTGTTGCAGGTGACTTTTTTGCTAGTGGATGATCCTTTCGGGTCATATATGCTAAGCTCAAAATCCTGCCAACCCCAAAAATAAATGCATAGTTTAATATAAATTCAAGGAATACCAGTGTAAGAACCGATCACCATACTCGCTGGTTAAACTATAAGCCTCACTCATAAAACTATGCTTCTTTGGACTGTATATGAATTCTAGATTGAACAAAAATGCATCCGACTGCAAAATTTTGCTATAGAGCTGCAAATTCACATATGAAGTACATTCTCTGAGTTTAAATTAGGGGCGTCAAGAAACACATGAAAATTCACAATATAAAGGGGGAAAAAGAAGAAAACATACAGAAGCATAAGTAGTTCCTTCAGTTGGAGCACATTGGGTACAATCGCATGGCACCCAGAAAAGATCACTCCCTGTATCAAGTGCCACCATGAACTTCACCCCAGGAGTCCCTAATTTTACTGTGGTATAATGTAAGCTGTACCCAAGAAAGAAAACCCAAACAAGATTATAAAAACAACTTTATAACAATGCCCTAAATCTAAACTTCCAAGAGAATACAAAAAAAAGGGCATAAAGAATTAAAGATGCTTTACAATCCCAATGAACTGATTCGGAAGGTGGAGTTGGCGTCAGAGAAAGAAAGGGTTGCATTGATATCAGAGAGTTTGCGGCCGCGGAGGAGGCGGTCCCGGTGAGCTAAAACGGCGTAGTACTCGAAAGAGCCCTTTGCAGGCCAATGAGAGAGTTTACCGGTGGAATTGGACCAGTTCTTGACGGGTTCAGAGAAAAGGTGGTGCATCTTGAAAGTGAAGATGCGGCCATAGCTGAGGTTGAAGCTCAAGATCCAGAAGAAAAATACAGTCTTTGAGGAAGAAAACATTTTCCTTTAACGATTGTTTCAGGAGAATGCAAGTGGATCATCCACAAAGATTTGCATTTGGAAGAAACAAAAAATGGATAAAAAAACTGAAGATAGAAAAAAGATTGGATTTGGATCTTGCGTTGCTATAGTATTTGGAATTGTTGAGAGGATATGAAAAAAAGGGTACTTGCAGTTCTTCAGTCTTCTTGTGTTGTTACAGTAGAGGTGAAATGTGGACTGCGGTGGGGCCCACCTTTCTTTTGTTTTATATATATATATAACGACAGTGAAAGAAGTTGAACTGGCCGTGGCGGTTTTCTCTTCTTCTTCCTTTGCCTTGTGTTTTTTCTTTGAAAGTCCTTTGTAAAAGTATAGGAATGAAACAAAATTTACGAAAACGAAAGATGATGGAAATGTTTTTATGTACAAGAGACATCGGAGTCCATTTCAACTCATAATATTTACAACAACAAAAAAACAAAGGCTAAAGATCCACAACCATTATAGATTATGATAAAAAACAAAGGCAGGCTTAAAGCTACCAAAAAAATCCCAGATAAGGGTAGTTTCATCCATCCAGTGCAAGAGATCCCCATGAAAAAGGTTGGTGCAATGTCAAGCAGGAGAGGCAGAGTGGATGCCAAATTTGTCTGAAAGGTTGGTTCTGGTGAAGGGTGAGAGAAGCTCCATTCGATGAACGAAATGCACGTCGTGAACCAAAGGGTTGCCTGTTCTTCCCGGCGGTGACCCTGCGTAACAGCTTGGCGAACAACCTGTGCATGCTCCATCAGTTTTCTGAGTTCATATGTTGGTATTAAAAGAATGAAAATTTATATATCTCTAAACACAGACATGTTATGGTTTGAAGAATGAAATCCTAACCTTGTCATCAATCATGTTCAGAACTCCACTTCTCCCATCGGTATTCTGTTGGCTGTTCATCACATAGGAGACCAAATTAGTTCTTATTTCAGTGGTTGGAATTCTGAAAACAAGAATGTCAATCCTTGGTCCAATATAGAGGAACTAGGGAAGAAGAAACTAACACCTTGAAAATAGAAAAAGGAAAGAGTGAGAAAAACATTGGAATGACAGTGAAGCCTACCTGTGCTTGGTACATTTGAGGGGCTTGAGAAACTCGGGAATGGGAGGTCCAACGCGGCGAGGTTTAGGGCAAAGAGGCTGCTGATCATAGCTTCCAAACCCCAACTTGGTCGTGTCTGAATCTGAATCCAGAAGCTTGCTTTTAACTGGTAAACGCTGCATGATTCTCTCTCCAAACAAAGAAGCGAAATTCTTCCAAGTCACAAGCAAAGACACACAGTGACTTTTGTCTGTGTCTATTAATTCTGAGTTTATTATATTAGTTAATCTCTCATTCAATTGGGAATGGAAAATAAATTAAGAAAGAAACGTGGTTTGATATAAAGACCAGAGAGTGAAGAAGACAAGGTGGTGACAAGTTGGCATTTTGATCTCCTAGTTTTCCTCGGTTTCTAATTTTTGCCTACAAATTATTTCGTCCATGTTTCCTCACCCTTGGAAATTTTCTTCCCTCCTATTTCAGGACTGTTTCACATATTTTCTCTCTGTCGCATACCCTCTTTGCTTTTTATAGAATAATTATCACAGCACATCTCAAACAAACTCCCATTGAAGCCTGCTACAGCGATTTCTGCATGGGGTACTTTCGGCCTTGTTTTTCGCTTCAAATCTTTCTTGTTTTCTGCCAAATATCGTTATATATATACACACGCACATATAATCATATAATGCAAATCATGTCTGCTACAGTGTTTTTATAGTAGTTTCCATGGCTTCTTAGTTCTTACTCACATGCGACCGAGTGACTCTTTCCATTGTTTACACACAAGGGAGCTGTGTGTGTGTTTGTGTGTTTTTTTTTTTTTACAAAGGTCTAAACATCTGAAGAACAAAGAGATGATCATTAAGTTAGATTGAAAAATAAACCCAAAAAATATACAAATCAAGAGAACTATATATGGACATTTGACTAAACATTAACTTGTATGCATAAATTCAATGCTTCAAATGGACATCAAGTGTTTGACTGACATGAAGTACATCCATGAATACACGAGAGCCATAAAAGCAGGTATGTGTTGATGGTGGGGGGAGGAGCAATAATAATATTAATAAGCTTACGCATACTTGCACCTAAAAAATACTTCATTAGAAAAGCCATCGTGGTACACTACACAAATATTGAAATAATTAATTGAACGTCAATGTCTCAATCATAAGTTATATGTATCCCAATCGAATCTAGGTTGTGAGAAAACCTCATAATCAATCGGTCCATCTATAATGCTGTCTATATTTTGCATGCCTTCCAACAGGGCTGGTTGAAAACTATCATTCTCAGAAGGCAACAGTTTGTCAATTACTAGCAATCCAAGAGTAAATATGGCTTGCAGCTTTGTGGAGTCTCCTTTCACTGAAAAGAACAAAAGCATCGAGAGGAGGAACAAGTTGAGGCAAAACCGCATGATACACAATACCGTATCCATAAGCCTTCCATCGTTTCCAGCAGGAAATCCACGGACTCTATATACAAACAGAAAGTTGTACTTATCAACCACATACCTATATCCAAAATAGACTGCACCCACTGACACCACGATTGGAGCAAAGCAAGAATATATCAAGGTCAGGGAAAATATTGTCAAATTAAATGCATAATACTGCACAAAGTCAAATGTCTGCTTGGGTATAGGCGACGTTCTGCTGCTGATAGGATAGACTGAAAGATCTTGTCCCTGAATGTCAATTCCACCCATCCTAGGAGAGTCGAATAAACTCTCTGGCAACAGTGGTCTCCGCAAATTATTCAGGTTTTGATTTTCTAACGGGTACTCCTCACTATTCTCTGGGACCAACTGAAGCATGTCATTCTTCCGAAACTTCTGAAGCTTCTTCTTTATCCAAGGAACTGGAGCCATTAGATCATATGATATTCCCAAGAATGTACTTGTGATTAGAAATGCAAGAGAAGAAAGGCAAGATCTTGAAAGGAATGATGCACTCATGTATTGCTCAATTCTCTTGCAGTCTTCTCCATCCAAATAGCATTGACCCATCCGGAGGATTGCACTCTCCAATGATGACTCAACAAGAGCCTTCAGTAGATCAAATTGACAAGGAAGAAGCAAACCATCTTTAGCAATGCTGCTCTCTGCTCGGCAGATACCGTGCGGTGCCGTTCAAACTTGGAAAGATGGGAAAGAACTGACGGGACAATTATATACATGCTAACAAATATAATTACATTGGGCAAAAACTGAAAGATTAGAGATGCCATCCAGCTTGAACTTTGCACCCAAGCCAACCACGACTGTGCATGATCAATTGCTTCTGCATTAATAATCCGAGCAGCACTCTGCACGGCAGTGATTACTGCAAGTGGTGAACTGAAGAACAAAAGCATCAACAACAAACATGTGTTCACACACACTCTTCGCAGTTTCAGTGACAATTTTGTAGATCCCAAATGGTTCCAGTAAATATCAGTGGCCAAAGGGGCTCGTTCAACTTTCCATTGGTTCCTCTGCAACTTTAATTCCATGACAGAAAAAAACTTCCCAAACCGCCTCTTTTTCTCATTCTGGAAATTTTGAACCGCCTTATTAGCAGTATATAGATCCTTAAACATTACAAAAGCAACCCCAGCACCCTGCGCATGTCCTTCCTTATAAGCAGCTAATTCAGTCTCCAACTTGGCTCTCAATTCTTGCAGCTTCCTTAATTTTTCTTCATCTGAAAACCCAAATTTACTCATAATTTGATCAAAAACACGCTGGATTGTCCTCCACAACCAACGGATCCAACCCAAAAATCCTTCACCTCCATTCACATCATCTTCACTTTCTTCTGGCAGAAGACGCAAATCAATTTTCGCTATCAACCAGGTAATTTCATCCCTGACCTTAACTACTTCAGTGGCTAAATCATCCAATGCACATAAATCCATAGGCATAATTACCCTGTATACTTTCCCTGGATATTTATACTGAAAATACTCGAGCAAAATACCTTTGTCAACCCCTAGATTCTTAGGTAAACCCTGAACCATAATCGTAAAAATAGCAGTCGAACTGGAATTGGGATCACTTAAATTTCCATTCCCATCCCTAAACCTAGTAATTCTTAATCTTTCTTCAATGGCCGACATTCCATAATGGAAAATAATAACAAGTAGTACGAAAATGAAATGTACCCAAAGTAACACTGAACCTTTACTAATATGACTGACAGTGGTTTTGGAGAACTCATCCCTTAATAAAGCAGTGCCGCCGTAGAGATTTACGGGGAGTAAGACGAAAACAGCCAAAACGGCGACAGATAAGAGAACGGAGAAGCTGCCACCTTCGATCAAGAGGTACTGGGCGGCGTCAGCTCCACAGTGGCGGGCAATATCAGGGCCGGTAGCGTGCCAGACAGAAAGGAGCTTAGAGAAGAGAGCGGAGGGGCCTGGGATACGGTGATGATCGCTGCGGAGCTTGAGGAAGAGGAAGATGAGGACGCAACAGAGGAGGCCGATGGTTGAAATGTTGAGGAGATACTGGATGTTGCCATACCACGCTCCGTCGATGGCGAAATCTTCGTCAGATGAAGGGGAGGGCGGAGGAGGGAACGTGTCGTTCATCGGATATTCGTCGATAGAAGAAAAATTAGGGGTTTGGCAATAGGATTCTGGGGCTTCGACTCAATGTGTGGGGGAGAAGGGAGACTTTTGTCGTTTTGCTTCCTCTAAATAGTTATGGGTGTAGAATTTGGTTATTAGGACAATTATAAGATATTTACTCTGTAATTCATGAGTTGTAATGGGAATTTAAAAAAAAAGATTTTATCCTAATTGAAATAAATCATTACATCTAGGATTAATCACTTTTTTATATTTGTACATTTTTATTGTTTAAATTCAAAAAATATATATTTTAATTATTTATATTATCTATTTGTTAAATATAGATCCTTTATGTTATCCATCGTTATATTTTGATTATTGAGCAGTTAATTTATGTTAGTTTGATAACGTGTCATGTTAATCAAGATGGGTTAATTTTTAATTTGTCCCTTAAATTTAAAAATAAAAATCATTTTGACTCCTAAATTTTAAATAAAATATTAATTTAACCCTTGAATTCGATCAAAGTGCACAATTGCCTGCCACCACTATCAATATCGTCATCAATCGTCGTTGGTCGTCATCTTTGGCGATCGTTAAACTCAAAATTTACAATCAACCCATTTTGGACCTCCAAAACGAAAATTCGATGTCTATGTATAAAAAAAATACTCGGGACTCAACAAATCTAACCTAAAATCCTTCAACTTCCTTTAAAATTAAACTATAATATTAAAATTATTATTAACATTCCTTTAAAAATAAAAATACCAAAAATCTAAATTTATATCATAATAAAAAAATATTATGTTATAATTTTTTATTATGTTTATAATATTCTCTCATAAGTTTTTGAAAGGATTGAAGGCATCAAAGGATGGCAAAATAGATGGTGAAGTATCGAAGAAATGAGCTTTCTTTATGTTATTTACTCATGGAATTAATTTTACTGAATTTTATAGTGATAAAATGGTATGTTTTGTTAAAAAAATATTCTTTCAGTCACTTTCTAGAAAGAGAATCAGATGCCGATAGTCACTGGCCGAATTGAAATTATGCCTATGTATATTTATCTAAGCAGTGAATATATGATAAAATTTGTTTTAAAGATTCTAAATCCTTAAATAATGAAAGTTTTTATTCTTACATAATGTTTGAACCTGAGATCAAAGGATAAAAACAAATAAATCGGTTCATATAAATTCTATTTTTAAAAATAAATATATATATATATATATATATATATATATAAAATCTTAATTTATAAAGTATGAGCCTATATATGGTTTTAATTATTCTATTATGTTAAAATTTTAGATTTTATTCATTCAATTAAATTAGCATGATTTAATTCGTCTACTTTTATTCTCCATTTCTGGTCCTATTTATTGGTTTGTTGTGTTATTGATTTGTGGCGTGAAACAAGTGGGGGGGACCACCCATGAACCATGTCGTACGTACCCATACACCAATATTTTTGTACCTGTTTACAACTTGCAAATTGCGACAGCTCTTGGATTATTATTATCCTAATGACTAAACTACTCTCATTGTCACTAAACTATTGACTCGATTCTGTTTTGATCATTAAACTAAAATTTTGTCAAGTATATAAGTCACCAGCCGTTATTTATTAACGAATTCACTGACCTAAGAGTTAAGTAAATTTAA